TCTATTTCTTTATTTGTACTAATTAGCTTACAAGCTATTATGGAATCATAATATCCAACACTCAATAGTGTTTCTATCATCTTATTTCAAAATACATATGTTCATTCGTACTTCATATATTTTATTTAAATACATAATTTTTTTTTTCTAAAACACTAACAATTGGTTAGATTCCTCTCTTGAGGTTTTAATGATTGAAAGTTAATTTTCGTGAAAAGATGGCTTCCAATTTGGACAAGATTTATGACATTTCTTCACTAAAATCAACATGAAAAATTAAGGTATGAGTCATTCGCAAGTAGAGTATGACTAGATATGGTAATTAACATGATATTATTTTTATTTAAATGGTTTTATTCGATGTCTATGTGAGTTATATTACTATTAAATTAATCATTATTTTGCAAGAGATAATCATAATATTTTGAACTAATTTATTTTTCTTAACAACCTTATAGAGAGGTTGAATCCAAGTATCTATAAAGAAATTATTCCTAAATAAATTTAAAGACGTGCTTCGTGAAGGTAAACTTTATGTTATAATTAACTTTGGAATGTAATAGAACATGAGAAATTAGCGTTACACTAGCCACACTTTTATTATTACTATTGTTGTTATTCTGACATAGGTATTATGATTATTGTTAACTTGAAGTTAAGTAGTTAACCTAGAACACTATTTCCTAGTACATAATAAGAATTTCCTAATTTTAATATAATGAAATCAATTCATCAATAATATTAATTTTTTAGACCAATTACGGCAAGAATTTTCTAACATTATTATTATTAATTTTTTTATAATTATATGTGAGAATATCTCTAGAGTTAAAAAAAATAAATTAATATTCTAATATGCAATAAGAAAAAGTGTGTTTTGAACACAACTGTAAATATTCTTTATAAGAAAATTTTAAATAAACTTTTGTATTATTTAGTTGGTTGACTCATATTAATAATATGTAATTACAAAGGTTTTTTTTAATAAATTTTCTTTCCATTAATAGTTATTATTTTCAATGTAAATTTAAAATAAAATGAGAACTCCCTTATAGATGCAATTTCTTGAGTAACAACTATAAGTTATAACAATTCAGCTAGGATCCAAACAGGTGAAAATTAATTCGATGTTTTGCCTTTTGATGCAAACATCGAGATTTTGAAGCAAAAGCTTACATGTTCTTTCGCTTTTTCTTCATCAACACTAGCAAGGAAGTTCTTTTTGGGACTTCTTTCTCGGATTAGAAAGATCAAATGATTGTGTACCCATTAGGTTATTCTAACGAGGACTTGTATGATAATGTATCTAGGTTGTTAGGGGAGTTCTTAATGTCCAATCTCATGTTGAGGGAAGAAAAATGAAACAATATTTGTTTCCTGAAACAAAACAAAAAAGGCAATCCTAGTAAGATTATAGAAATTATCAAGCTTTTTAATTTTAATAATATAATTTTAAAAATAATTTATATTTAAAAACTAATTATCTGAGTGATATTTTTTTTTTTCACATCATACAGTTTTGTCCTTGCGTGGGCAATTGCAATTTTTTAAATATAGTATTGGTTCATTTAGTTCTATAAATAATTAGAGTTTGACACATGGTTGCTGATAAATCAGTAAAATATAAGTGATAATTAATTAAATAATAAATTAAAATTAGTATCACATTAATATAAATAACGTGTCTCTCTTAAAGCAATATTAACGAAAAAAATGATATTAACTCAAAAAGGACGACTGAAAATAAATAAAATCACATATATAAATCAGGACGAAATAAATTATTTGACGTTATTTTGGTATGTAAAACATCATCCATATGATTATTTGAAGTGGACTTGCTAAATTAATTAAGCTATCGAAATAAATTTGTAATGAAGTTAAAACAATTGATATAAGAGGCTTGAACTTATGTATTAACATAGGAATTTTGTAAATGTCCTAAGCTAATCCAATGCTAGTGGTTTTCTTTCAAATTTTACTTTTAATTTTTCACAGAAGAATGTTCATCATGCCACATGACTCCTGGTACCAAATAAATCAAATCAACTTTCAACTTTTAATTTTGTATTTTCGCATTCAAAGATGAGGTAACTCCATTGAAATTAAAATTCGTGCAGTAACAAAACAAGACTATTGACTATAAAACTATTAAGCAAATAAAAAATTATCATTTTTCTAAATATTAAATATCATATTAACACACACAGTGGTTTTCCCAAAATTATAGATCCCTCAAAATAGGTCACTGAAAGTCAATGCACTACTGCTAGTTCTGGTTTATAACAATACTCAAACGTAAGGTTGATCGTGAATGCATGAGAAGTGTTTAAATTATTTTCATCCGAAAAACCAAAAACTACTAATAGTAGAACTTGAACAAGCCTTACAAGAGAAGTGTTTAAATTATTTTCATCTGAAAAGGAAAAAACATCATGAGACACACACTTACAGGGACAAAGATGCATTAATTATTCAATAATTCAAGAGGTCACTAGTAAGAAATTTATAGTAACATTCGCACACCATTTCAGCAAATAAATATATAAGAAACCAATTTATACCGATCTTACTAGTAGTACCCCACAATTTTAATTTGCTTACTGATGTTTCATGTTAATTGTTGCACCGGACGACAAAAATGTGTTAAAAAAATTATTTTTTAAAAAGAGAAAATATTTTTTAAAAAATTAAAGGAGTCGCTATTAAAATTTTAAGAAAATTTTGAAAAAATATTTAAAATAATATGATTTTTGAAATTAAAAATAAATTTAGAGTCATTTATACATAGAAAAAGTATTAACCCTTTATAACGTCCATTTAAATAAATTTGTGTAAATTTATTTTAATTTTGAATAATATTTATTTAACTCCTAAAAATAATTATTTTTATTTTTATTTTAAAAGAAGAAAAATTATTTATTGAAATGTTAATTGATATTTAAAAAAAATTATTCTAAAATTTATTTTGACTTGACAAGTCTATTTACCTGCTCTTACATATGCCTAAATGCAACTAAGAACTCAAAGTTACGTAATTCTATCATATAATTATAAAGCGGATTGATTAAAATTCAGTTTAGTAAAAGAAAATTCATTTTGAGATTAAAATTATTTTGATAAGATTATAATATTTAGAAAACAAGATTATTTTGCATCTTACAATAAAGTAAGGGGAGATCACACAACTATATTTTAAATTGTTAAAAATATTTTTATTTGTAAATAAAATATTTGAATTATAATTTATGTTGAAAGAGAATTTAATATAGTATAAGATATAAATAAATTTTTTATAATTTATTTGATAATTGAAGACAATGTAAATTACACGATGTTATAAAAATTGTAGAATAAAATGAAAAAAAAAAGTTAAGTAATTAAGTATTTAGTTATTTAATTTATCAAAATTAAAAAAAATGACTTAAGAAAATTTAAAATATGAAATTAATTCTATTTAATGAAAGGAATAAATATATTTGAATTGATTAAAGAAAATATCTATTTAATAAAAAGATTAAAATTAGCATTATAAATTATTCTATTAATAAAATAACTTAAATTAAAATTAGTTGATTGATTAGTAAGTTAGTAATTAGAAAAAGGACCCATTTTGATTGATCATTAAAATAATTATCTAATTAATTAGAGATAAGATATGATAAATTAATATTATGCAAAATCAAAGTAATATAGGTACACTTAGACTTTATCAATTTATAATTGATAGAGAAACTATATGTTAATATTATAAATTGATTGATACAATTATATTATTATTTATTTATTTTTATATAAAAATAATAATTTACTATTCATGAAATAAAAAAATTAAATCATATCAACATTCTACAATTATACAATAAATAAAAGATAATAATTCTAGAAAATAAATAACTAACATATAATTAAGACATAAATAATAAAATAACACAAAATATTATAGAGAAAATTTATTATTAATGTTAAAATGAAATAAAGTTTACAAATAAAAATACAACTCGAATAAATAAAAAATTATTATTATTTGATATTACTTAGATCACTTACTATCAAAAAAGAGAAAAAAATAAAATTTTTGAATTTAAAAATTTAATTTTTTTATTAAAAAGGGCAAAAAGGTTTAAAAATAAAACTTTAGATAAGAGAGGTTGAGTTTTTAAGACAACAAACAGTTTTTTTTTCTTATTAAGAGAAAAGTCATGGAAAAGGATAGAGACAAGTTTAGTGGATGTTATGATGTGTTGAGGTTGAGGAGAAAAAATTTCATAGTTGAAGTGATGGGTTGAGGTTAAGGAGGAGAAACTTTCATGGCTGAGAATAATGGGTTAAGAGAAAAAAGTTTTCATAGTTAGGAATATGGATTGAGGGAGAGGAAAAAGAAAGGTAGAAAGAAAATAGTAACGAATTATTTATATTATGAAAAAAAAAATTGAGCAAACCTCAAATCCCTAATCATTTAATAATAATGAATTCAGTTGTGATACAACGTTAATGAGTAAACAATAAAGGCATGCATGAACAGAAGAATTAATATACAATTTAGTCTCCGAAAGTGCCAACTCATGTTACTTCAGTTCCTAAAATTGTCTCCTGTGCTAGGAGGTTTACACTATCGAGTTTTCAGTTTATAAACAATTCATCCCTTGAAATGCCAATCTGTATAGACAAAAGTTTTCATGGATAAAAGCAACACAAAATGTTAATTTTAAGAAGCAAATTGTATACATATTAACTCTATACATGATACTAAGGAAGTGAAGCAAGAGGGAAAATGGTATAAAGATTACAATAACTAATTATGAAAGTTACGAAAAGACGAAAAATCCATTCATTAATTGTTGAAGTTCAAACCAAAAAGGAAAAGAAAATAGAACACACAATATGTTTTTTTTTATTATTATTATTATTGAATACATCAAAGTTCAAATTCGACTTGAGGTATAAGATAGACAACTATTCAAATTAAACATCCATACTCTTAATTCAGTAAAACTCAATTAAAGGATTTCTTCTGCGGCCTTCAACTTGATAGTGAGGTTAGATGAAGCACATGGCAATGATAGCAACTCATAAAACACATCTTCCCTTGAGATATTGTAGACAATGGTAATTATTTTCATGTTGGTGGATCTTGTGATAAAGTGCTTGATAAAATCTACTTCTAATTCCATGCCAGAGAATCCCTCTATGTATACAAACTTTAATTTGTGACGAACACTATTGCAACTTGCCCTTCCTCCCCAAAAGCTTAAATGAGAATAATGTGAAGAACCAGCAAAAGACCTAGGAATTATGCGTTCTTCCTCAATTGGGTTAACCTATATAAAATTATATATCAAGAATAACAATGATTCTCATTATAAAAAGATGTCAATGCATACTTTTCGCATCAATTAGGAGAGTCAAAACACAAATGGTCACTTACTGGGATATAAATTTTGAGAGTTTGTAGGTCAGCACTTGATCTCAAAATGTGTGAAAGTATAAGGCACTCTCTTACATTGTTCAAATCCAGATCAACTGATAACGATGAAAGATTTTGGAAGACGCTGCCCTTTGTGAAATCCTACATGAAGATATAAAGTGATAGCTAAAATTACGATTCAAAACAAAGATACAGCATTAATCAAATCAAACAACCCATAATACATATACCAATATAAATATACATGTCACCGTGACACAAATAGCTAATTATTCTAGAGAACTTACCCAAAAACCACTATGGTGCTCCAAAAGCTCTTGTGTATTCAGTACATTTGATATTGGATTTTGTCGATTGTCGTGACAATGGAGCACCTTAAGATTTGGTGCCACAATTGCCAGATTCTTTGCAAGACAAGCAATAGAAATTAATGTTAAAACTTCAAGACTCATGGTAAAAATTTCTATACGATGCAGACGCAAAAGATTGAGCTCCAAAAATTTAAGATTTGGATTTTGAATCTCGATTTTTCTGAAACCAAATGAGTTTAAAATAGTCAGATTTTCCAAAGACGCGCAACTTTTCAAAATTGCATTAAGAGCTCCTTCCCTCATATGTATGTCATTTAGTTTCAAGGTTTTCAAATCATTGCAAACTTCAAATGTTGGTGGACTTTCAAGAGAGTAACATCTCAACTCAAGTGACCTAAGAGAGGAAAATAAAGGCAAAACATGTAATGGAAAAGTTTGTTTCAAAATCACAAAAATTGGCTCGCAAGAAATAATCAAATCTTTTAACCCTCTCTTTTTCTCAGACAGAAACTCTAACCATCTTGTCAATTCCATATCAGGAAAGTGTTGGATGCGACAACTGGTCAAATTACCAAGGTGCCGTCCAATGATTGATAAGAACACCCCACTATACTTTAGAAGTCCTCTTCCGGCGTTCAAATTCACAATGAAATTTGAAAGAGCATGCGGTGGAATGCTAAGCATTGTAAGGGGTTGTAGCATATGCTCCACATCAAGATCAAAGTGCGAAACATGCTTCCACAAAGACCTCCATCTCTTCGAAAGGACGCTGCTTCTTACAGCATCATCAATTGGAAGAATAGAGAGAACGATTATCAAAACCTCATTAGGAAGACGATTCAAGGAATCCCGTGGCTCCTCTTTGTAATCATTGAATATCTTAGTGTTCTTTCTCCCTCTCTTTGTCATTTTTTTTTTCTTTATTCTCTTGGAATTGGAATTGTTTGTTAGTTTAAGATGAAAATTTGAGAGCTTTGAATATTATTTTCAGGACAAGAGGGGTGGAATCTGTGAAAACCCAGTGGACCTGGTTTTGACTGTGAAACGGTTGAATTGAGTGAATGCATGAAAGAAAGGTGGAATGCGATTATGACCTAGAAAATTGTTTGCTTCACATGACTCATCCCTACACTCTCCCCTACCTGTATTGAGAGTCTCGTTAGTTTCATTAAACGTAAATTCCAACTATTTTAATTATTTATTATTAAATATGACTAAATTATAAAGAAAAAGACCGTAAGTATATTTTAATTTTTAATTAGATGAACTTTTAAAATTTTTCTGTGTATTGTAAGTAAATAGCAGAATTTTAAATAACTATTGTTAAAATTTGTTATTCTATATTGAATAATAGACCATCATACATAATAAAATATAAAAAAATTTAATAAATATACATACTATCACTTTAAGTTACATTTTTCATATAAATGAAAAGACAGAATATATTTTATCTAAAAATAGTGACGTTACATTGCATTAAAAAAATGAATTTACATGCTATCTCATTTTTAAGAGTTAGAATTTTTAATAGAGGTAGATTTGTATCTTTTCATTTTTGCGACTTTTTTCAAAGTTGGTAGACTATTAATTTTTCTTTAAAAATTTTTAGTCATCCCTCTCGTATTATCTAATTTTTAATATAATTTTAATATTATTTATATTATATACTTTCTATTAAATTAAATCAATTCGTCATATTTCTATATATGCATTTAATGAATTGCATTAAGTATTTGATTGGGAGTATAAATAATTAATTTTACTTAATTGGGAGTATAAATAATTAATTTAAAATTCCATATAAGCATCGTCTCAGTTTTGAATGCAAATTTTCTTTTGGTAAAAAATTTAAACATTTAATTTTGAAATAATTTGATTTTGAGAATGGTTAATTGGGAAAATAATAATAGCATCCTTAATATTTATTTTTTTACTTGCATTATTTACTTGTTTTTAATAATAATTTCTTGCTATATTTTAATGTATATAAATAAAAATATTAATTACGCCCTGTGAAAAAAAATGAGTATAGTGAAGTTTAGTTTAACAAAAAAAATTTATAGCATATGCTCAAATAAATAGGAGTGTTAGATCAAAATATAATCTAATAGAAAATCAAAATATGTTCTAAACTATTTTAGCAATATCTCATGTGTAGATTTCATACTTTATATAATTTCTTTTAAGACTAAATTATCAGTTTAGTCTCTCAAAAAGTAAAGGTTATACATGTTACACATTTACTCATTGAATTGACTGTTAATCCTATGTATGTCAATCAATAATACATTTAAATCTTTCACGTCAACTAACAAGTAAAAAATATTAGTTTTTTTATTAAATAATTAAAATAAAGTCATTACATTCTTCTCTTAGATTTTCTATATTTATATTGTTCATTGTGGTGGGTAATCCCAAATTTTCCACCACCTCTCTTCTTTCTTTTCTTTTCGGAGTCACGCCGGTCACGGTGGTTGATGTCCTAAAACTCTCACCACTTTTTTTTATTCCTCTTTTAAGAGTCATGTTGTTATAACTCAACATCCAATGTCATGCTTCTTAATCCCTTTATCTCATGTTCAATGCACTTACTCACTCATACTCACTGTGAAAAGACAAATCAACTACAGTAGTTTTCATCTTTCTTAGATATAAACTCATAAACTACCAAAGAAGAAAAGAGAGAGTTACACAATTATCCCAGTGTTATGATTCAGAGAGAGGGGGTAACGAGGACTTTAAGATAGGATGGTGACGCAAGAGATGGAACCTTTAATAACACGTTAAACAATTTCTAATTTATTAAACAAATATATTTCTATTTGCATTAATAACAGTTTGACATAAATGTTCTCTAAAGACCGTATCACTAAAGGCTTTAACAACATTTTAGCATATCTAGTAAAGGTTGTTAATTGATATCTTAAAATTCTTGAATATTCAACTATAGATGCTCCTTAATGTCTTCCATCCATCCAATTTATCTTTCCTTTTAATATATATAAATTAGCAAGATGATTAAATTGCTTACAATCTAACACGCATAGAATCTAATGTAATATCAACCTCAATGATAAATTGGTGTAAATTTTAGCATAGATCATATCTACAATAATTGATGGCCATCAAGTTTGCGACTCTCCAATTTGGCACCAACTAACAAATTTATAAAGTTCCCCGCACCATGGTTCTTGAAGGTAGTGAAGGATCCAAATTAAAAGTAATGAGGGACTTGGAGATATCACATTACAAAATTTAAGTTTAGGGTAATGGAATTCGGGAGATTAAAAGATATGGTTGAAAGAAATTTGACATACAAAAAAGAGTTACAAAATATAGTTAAATTGTAAACGAACTTATCATAACAAGGAAATCGAACATTCACCCTTATTAACGATACCCAAGAAAACATTATTGCAAGTTTCAACAACACTTTTGCATAAACTGTTGGCTAAGTGTTGCTAAATATGGTATGCTTAGTAGTTAACTCTGGATATAATATATGATACTTACAAGATTTTGCCAGTAAATTATTTATTAGTTTGTGATCAACATATTAATAATTAAGCATGCACGGATTTGATTTTATAAATTTAAGCAGATTAAGGTAGTTATAGCTTAAATAAACCTATCAATCACTATTGATAAAAAATAATTGTTACATAAGTTGCAATCCTTTTTGCTTTTGTAGTAAAATGACAAACTCAAAATAATAAATGTAATCTCTTTATTTTCCACTAAAATTCTTTTAGATAAAATATTGAATTATATTTATTTTTTTTTAAGTTTCCTTTTTTTATTTCGCATTAGGTGAAGTTCAAATCCACAACCTTAAGCTTTACAAAAAAAATATAACTGTGGTTCACAGTTGTGACTCCGTAAACTGTTCTTATAATGTGAGGGATTTAAACACTGAAGCCACAACTTCAAAGAGAATTTTACCTAACCGCCAACTCTAACATGACGGTTAGTCTTACAATTATACCTATATGAAGATACTAGCTGAAATACCATAAACGAGTTCAACTTCACCAATCCCCAAAATTCATTGCTATATCTTGCGAAAATGTTTTAAAACCGTGAGAATTAGCTTATTTAATTTTGTCTTTAATGATAAAGGTAGGGTTTTTTATTCCCTTCATACTTTTATATTTGTATATACAAATGAGAAAAAATCTTTTTACAGTAGCAAAGTCTAAAAATTCTTAAAATTGTTTTAAGTTTTTTATTTAACTTACATCTAATAATTAATAAAATAATAACTTATAACCTAATAGATGTAGACAAGAGCTATCACGGTCTACCAATTTTACATTGAGTTCAAAGCAAAAACAAACTTCAAGAGGTGCCTTTGGCTGTATGTTTGTTTAGATGGTTTCATTGATTGTACAATTCTCAGTCCACACTATTTTACTTGCTTTGAACTCAATATAAAATGTGTATACAAGAATATTATATTAGTATGGGTAGATGGTTTGGTCATATACAAATAATATTCTTGAAAAAATCAATAAAAAGTAAATGATATTACTTTTATTTTGAATTTTGTTGATCAAATTTTTTTATTTTAAAATTGATTCCTAATTAATACAGTAACTCATTTTTCTGTCACTAAATTTGTGAGAGAACCAGGTCACTATTTCAATCATTAAATAATTAACTTATAAATTTTTTATTTTAAATTTTATTAATCCAATTTTAAGTCTCTAAATCGACCATTTGATTTTTCAGTCACTAAATTTATTAAAGAATGAGTCACTATCTTAGTTACTAAGCAATTAATTTGCAGACTTTTTATTTTTAATATTTTTAATTCAGTATTCAACATCTAAATAGTGACCGATTTTTCACTAAATTTGTTTAAAAATTTTGTTACTGTTTTGGTAACTAAATGATTAACTTTCAAGTATTTTGAATTTATTAATTCAATTTTAAGTCTTTAAAGTAGTCTTAATAGTGAAAAAAATTTGGTCATCAAATTTGATTAACAATTGATCACAATTTCTGTCACTAAATAATTGTTTTTTAAATTTTAAATTTTACAAATTCAATTATTAATTTCTAAATCAGTCACTGATTATATTTTAGAATCGGTCGCTAATCTAATCGATAAAGGACAAATTAAAATTTAGTAAAAAATATATATATCATATAATCAGTCTCAATATGAGTAGCAATAATGACTGAAAATATTTAGTTATAAATTTGTCGCTAAACAACAAATTTTTAGTGGTGTTAGTATGATAAAAAGGTAGAAGGAAACCAAAACAAGAATTAGAGAAATTTACTGAAGGAGACTTAATTTGCTTGGAAATATAGCGATATTATTAGTCGCTCTGCCATGAAGTGATTCAATAATAAGTAGTAAGTCATGTGTACCAAGACTAACACCAATTATACAAGTCATAGAAATGTAAGAATTTTTACCATGACACATTTCTAACAATCCTCAATTATTAAGCCAATTAGTTCATGCTAATATTATTTTGTCTCTCAAATAGAACCATTTATATTCATTTTTTAATAAAATAATTTAATCTAAAGAACCATAATAAGTGTTTATTATAAACCTTAAATTGTCTCTTTCTCTCTCACTCACCTACATATTTCCTTTTTTCGTATTGCTTATAAAGAGTTTATTAAAAAATCATATTAAAGAATATATATATAAAATAAATAGTGTGGACGAACTATCACGGTCTACCCATTTTACATTGAGTTCAAAGCAAAATCAAACTTCAAGAGGTGCCTTTGGCTGTATGTTTGTTTAGATGGTTTCATTGATTGTACAATTCTCGTACAAACCTAATACAACCCTCTTCCATTGTCAAAGTTTGAAATCAGCTAAGGAGGACAATATGTCGAGTTGGTCTCATTCATTGTAATGAATATTAATTTAGTATTTAGATGTCAATAGTGGGTCATAAAGCCCACATATCAAACCTTAACTTACAAGGCCATGTGTTTTTTGACTACATGGGCCTCACTAACACTCTGTTCATGGATTCAATACAACTTCTGCTGGTTGACCAAAATTTGTACAACTTCTACCCGTGGTGTGTCTCTTTTTTCATGCTCCTGGAGACCCAAAATGGCCCATTCACACTAAAGTATTCATGGAGACACTGATTTAGGATAGAGTAATTTCAATCCCAATTCGACCACACCGGATTGAAGCCCAACCCAAAATAAAAATTATTTTTTACAAATTTAATTCCAAAATGCTATTGGTTAATCATTTCTAGAAATTCAATTTACTAAGAAATTAGATTTTTGTACTACTATTCAATACATCTCCTGAAATAATGCAAAAGAAGATTATGTAACTAGTAAAAAAGAATAATGCAAAAAGTTACTATTCATGCTATCTTATGAGGCCATTTAGGGGGCACGGATAGACCAGATCTTCTTATCTAACTAATTGGCTACTAACTTCTATTATTAATTTGCTTTGCTGATTCCAACTCTTGTTACCTATTCTATGCTTTATCTATTAAAACTAAATGCGTTCATCTCGTGACCGAAAAGTAAATGCGTTCTTTGAAATGGCTGCAATTATTTACTCTAATATAATATGCCACTTTAATCTCTCTTTTTTTTTTTTTTATCTTTTCCGAAATTTAAATTCAAAATATCTTTTAAAATTATATTATCTTACATGTCATACTTATATCTAAAACAACCTTTGCAGTGCATGAGATATTCTCGATGTTCATTTTACAATCTAAATAAAATTAAGAAATTACCATACCTGCTCAAGTTTTTAAGGATTAATATGCCATCTCTGACACGATTTATCACACTTACAGATCCATTTGGACAGTGGTTGGCAACGCTGTAACAGGGATCAAGTTTATTGCGTATAAATTTGAAAGTCCTTCTACTTTAAAATAAAAATTACAAAATGAATGAACCATTGCCGCAGGAATACTACATTTTTTGGAGTCCACATGGGAGACAAACGTTGCTATCAGAGATAAGGAGCAATGATGTAGTATAAACATGATCCTTATTTAGAACAGGGAGGGGTGGTAGTATAGTATATTAGTTATGAATGTTAACCCATATAAAAATGTTTCATATAAATATTGATAAAGCACATAAAGTGTTGCCTCGCATAACTTTAGTCGGGACCAGGATAACCGTTTTAACAAATCAAACAATACAAAATACTTATGGTAGCAGTTCTCGATGAAAACATAAATTGCACTCGCACATAATTTCCAGCAACTGGCACACTTTACATACACACTCATCTAGTAAACTTTACAACTCTTAACATGAAGATTACCAGGCATCTGCTCCCTTTGTCACACCAAGAATAATTGCAATTGTCCCCAGAACAGCCTGCAAAAGCAGCCTCACAAAGCTAATGTTACTTCTCATTCCTTATGAAACAATTCAATAAACACAACAACCTCAAGCAATATGTTACAGGCATAACAAGATGATAAAAACTTGGCTGATGTGGAGATAAAAACAGTAAAGAGGTCTAGTGCTGTAATAATCTATAACACTGCACAATTCCCCTCAGGAGCATCTGATAAAATTCAAACAAGTAATGACACAGCTAAAAGTCTATCTCAAGTGAAAAGAGAGTAGAGAATCACTTACAGCTACCATACAAGCAATATATCCAGGTTTCTCTCGATAGTCTACTCTGGAACAAAGCATAATTATCGCCCCAACATACCATGGAATGGCAGCAAGAAAGAAACCTAATATAAACCTTCATAACCAAAAGAAAAAAAGCGAATCAACAAGAGAATACTAACTTTGAAAGTAAGTAGCTGATACTAACACTGGGAAAACAAAAGGAAAATATCAAATATGAGAATTTAACATTGGATCATATAAAAGGAAACAACTTAAATGGTTCCAGCATGTTTGTAGGATCATAGAAAAAAGATGGAACGGAAGCATGTATGAACCATTCCGATCACGCCTGAATAATCTGGTAAAGACTGAAATGATCCACAAGGTTCATGTTAATTGGCACAACAACAACAAAAATACATAACCAAGGCACAATATAAATATGTTACTTCCTATGATATGAAAGGCCTAGTGAATCATGTCAACAGCCTGCTAGTTTCACTTTTTTTAATACAGCATGTGTGTCACTTTGATGTACAACAATAATAATAAATGGCAAAATGTTGGCCACACCTTAAAATGTCATGGAAAAGAATATGAGCCAAACCAATCATACAATGGTCAAACTAACGGCAACTACCATTTTCCTTTGAATGGTAAGGGGAAAGGGGGTCTCAGTAATATAGAAAAAGTGTAGACACCAATATACACACAAACTGCTGAAAATTCAAAGCAGTTTGCCTGGAAGGTGACCATTCATAAAAGTGAATTGATGTTTGAGAAGGGTCTCATGAAATGGCAAATCCTATGCCATTTCCCTCTTCTCTCCCTCTCAACAACAACAACCAAGCCTTATTCCACTAGATGAGGTTGGTTATATGGATCACAAAACGTCATTGAGTCCCCATCCCCAGTAAGTAAATTTGCTATCATGATATTACATCACCTATTTTCTCTGCTCAAAAGTTGCATTAGGTAGATCCACCACCACAATCCAAAACAATTGTCATTTCAATATTCTTTGATCCATGTACCCTCATTCAATAGGATTAAAAATAAAAGAAGGTAACACTAGAAATCAAAGTATTTTCCTCAAGCACAATACACAAATTTGAGATTTAAGTTTTCAGCGAAAAATAAAATAAACATCTGTCAGTGAAAATGTTTATGGTGATATAATATTAAGATAACTTAAAATGAATTGTCCAAAATCAGAAAATTGAGGATAACTTAAAGTCTTCTATCATTACATGGATTTAGCAATTTTCACCAACAGAACAGGCTAGGAATTATAAGTTGGATTTGGATTGTAATGTATGTATGTATCACTTTGAATGTCGTATATTAAAGGAAAGTCAACCTCGTCACATCTAGTTATCTACAAGTTATTGCTGAAGTAATCAGTTGCATGCGAAATATACTTACAGACACCAGCCGCAACCAAGACCACAGCAACCAAGGCGACGCTCTCTTACAGGTCTGCCTTCAGCAACAGCATAACCTGAATCAATATCACAGAAAAAACTGTATCACAATCTAGCAGGCTTGAAAATGAAATCTTTACACTACAAAGACATATCATCCTCAAATTTACATCCATGAGATTCTCAAATATAAAATCCAACTATTCATAATTGTCTCCTAACATAACCAGCTTTGCTTTTGCAAAATGAGCACAGTACGGTTCCTTTTTAATGGGGTTACCACCATGGCTCTCAAGTGAAACAATACAAGTCTCAATGAGAATTATAAAATTATGAAACAAAGAAAGTACATATAGTCCTTCAAGCAATCTATCAACCCACCAAATCATCCAGTAACTTAGTCAAGCCACCTTAATCATAGGCAACACAGAGAGTTAAAAACCATGACGGAAAGGGATGATAAATAATCTCAGACAAACCAGTGATTAAAAGCAAAACCTTTAATCCCCATTACCAGCCACCAAATTCATAGTATTCTACCACATCAAACCGTCAACATATTCCAAATCACTCCCTTCACCACACTCACAACCACTGTCAACTTCCAAGAATCAGACGCACTGCAAAATTACAAGCAAACCTAAAACTCACTGACAAAAATTAGGTCAACCCAAGCTAAGAAACTTCGCCTCAAACCCAATATTTCATACAGAAACACTTGACCTACCTCTTGCAGCTAAATTCCCACATTATATTGACAGCAATCAGATAGAACAAGCAAAGCAGAAGCAGCAGTGCAAACAGAGTAGAACAAAGCCAAACCCCATCTCAAAAGTTCCAATCTTTGATCCAACCCATCAAACACAAATCACTCAATAGTCAATACATCATTCTAGAAACTGAAATCTAGCACTTCCCATTTCTATGCTCAAATCAAACCCAATAATAATAACATTTTTTCTAATATATACCGAAAGGCACACAATAAAAAATCAATAAATAAAAATATTAAAAATTATAAAATTTAAAATTATTAATACATTGAATCATTCACGCCTGTTATTTTTTATAAAAACTTATTATTGCAAATATTCTCTAAATATACCCTTGCAGACATGTTAAAAAAACTGTACCGGTAATAATAATAATTATTATTATAAAAAGAGGGGCAGGGCAGGGCAGAAGCATACCGGGAACTGCTTGGTACCCATGAGGGTAATACGGCGGAGGAGGGGCGGAGGAGTCGACGGCGCCGGGCGGCGGAACGGGGTGAGGGAAGCCGATGGCGGGGTGAGACTCCGGCGGAGGAGGAGGGTAGTTGGAGACACCTTGGAAGGTGCCATACTGAGGTGTAAACGGTTGGGGCTGCGGCGGAGGGGGGTGGTGGTGGTGGTGGTTTCTGGGTTTGTCTTCTTCGGTCATGTTGTTGACTATTGGGGAAGGTCGGATCGTCCGAGTCAAATGCTTGGATCAATAACTCAGTGTGGTGTGTGTGTGTGTGGGAAATGAATGTGGGAATGGATCATTATGATTCGTTTGTTTTGTGGACCCACTCAGTTACATGAAGGCAAACTAGGTTGGGTGTTGGGGTTCTATGAGTAATTTCAAGTGAAAATGCAGCTCTATGACATTATTTTCAAGGATAAATTACACTCCACTAAACTCTCCAATTTTATATATGACTTGTGTATGTCAAATATTTTAATTTTTAAAATTATAGCTAAATTAATTATTTTTATATGCACTGTATGTATTATTTTTAAATTAAGCTAAATTATTTTAAAATAAATAATTAAAAATAAATTATATATTCATTTTTAAACATAAAAATATTAATAATAATATTCTATTGTATTGTATTCAATAAAATTTAAAAATTTTAAATATTGAATTAATATCAGATTTAAAAGTAAATACATAGTATAAAAGAATAATAAAGAAGAAAATTAATTTTTAAAAGCGCTTTTATTTACAAATTATATATAGATATTAATTATTAGTAGACTCTAAAATTGTCAATTGTTTTTTATTTTAATTTTTAATGCTAACAAATATTAATAAATTATCCACATATCAAATAACAATAAGAATATCATCAAAATATAAAACAATGCGTGCGAAATGAAAGAGGATTGTTTGTTTTATTTTTAAATTCGACTCTACAACCTCACTTTTTTTCATATTGTTTCTTAAAAATCACTTGAACTTTTCCTTTTCTTTTTTGTTTATAATTGGGAGAGGATAAGAAAAAAGACAATGTGAAAATTTTTAAGACTTAAAATTCAAATCCTAATATTCTATATATAACCTGTTAGCTCTTACCACTTAAGTTATACTATAACTAGAGAAAGATGAAAAAAAACAAAACCCAACCCAAAGAGTAATGATCTTTCTCCTTTTTCAAAAAAAAAAAATGAAGGTTGATCAATCATTTGCATAACTCAGCTCCTTTGATTTGTGTTACTGTGTGCCACTGTCTCTCCACTATTAATGCACCATGCTTAATGTTAACTCAATAACCACTATTGTAGTGTATCCAAATGAACCCCCATAGCCAAGTACTTTGAACTGCCATAATCAATGACCTCAAACTCTAGCAATGCCCAAGCCATGGCTTTCATCAAATTGGACAAAGAGATATTTTTGGATCTAAATAAGAACTATAAAAAACGGGTTAAAAAAATAAAATTAATAAAATAAATTTTGAAAATCAGCAAAAGGGGAGGAAGGGAGCAAACGTTTTGTTGGCTACTTTGGTTTCTTTATGTGAAGAGGACATTTTTAGGCAAGATAAAAGTGCTTTTTATTATTATTATTATTATTATTTGTGACCCTTAGTCACCTAGTTGAAAAACACAAAGTTCTGTAAAAAAGAGCAATAAAAGGCTCTCATTAAAACTGTAAAAATAAAGGGAAAAACATGGAAGGTGAGGATGGTTTTGCAAAATAGGAAGAGCAGTAGATGAAGCTAACAATTAGAGTTTTCAAGAAAATAAAATTATACTAAAATGATGTTCAATAGAAATTGTAATAAAGTCTAGTTGTCACTTAACTGATGTAATTTTGCTTTGTGAGGACTCTTAACAGATATATATCTATACACAAAATTTAAAAGCAAGTTATCATGAAATAACTTAACCATTAAGCTAACCATTTGATTTAAATTAATCAATTTTGGTCAATAATTCTTCTCTGAATTCGTAATGTAGAAAACTTAACATGTGGCCCCTTTTAAAAATAATATAACATGATCTGAACATCTGTGTTTCTCTCTGATACTGAAGCATTGTGATAATTGCGTTCACTTTGACGATCACTAAGAGCACGATGCTTCTAAATGTTCTTCTGCTGCCATTTAAATAAAGACCAAAATAAGCATTCAACAAGTTTAGGAGTCCCTCCTAAAGCTCTCTTTTAGTTTTATTTTTAAGGAAAAACAATGCGTCTTTAGTTTTAAGTTTCTTAAGAGTTGTTGACCAAAGGTGAAACTTTAATTTTAATTAAAAAAATAACATTAACAATAATATACCTTAATTTTATCCGACCTTAAAAAAACCATCATCACATAAATTATGTCCTTTATCGAGATAGGATATCTTGAATTTCAGAAAGACAGTAATGAATGAAGGTAGCAGTTCTGAGTTTCTTGTTCTATAATTATGTCGCTTTCACGTATTCATGATTGCCAACAACTAACACGGTCTTTCAAATTCAAGAAACGATAAGGATCCTCTTATCTTTGGTCTAAAAAGTGTGATGTAGTTTAACTTTGAAATTCGATTTATTATTATAGGTAAACTCTAGTTATAAGATCCAAATGGTTATTGTATTAATTTCTAAAAGCTTTTTATCAAATTAATCCATTAAAGATTTAATTTGTACTTAATAATGCTTTCAAAATTTCTTTCAAACTATTACGTTGATCTTCTATGAGAAAAAAAAAATGTGGTCATATGTTATATTTGTAAATATAATTTGAAGATAAAATTTTTAGAAGACTACATGATGATATTTTAATTTAAGTCTTCAAAAATTTCAACCACCAAATTAATCTTTAAAAGAATTAAAAGGTCAATACATCAATTCCTTAAAATATTATCTTCAAATTAGTTTTTGAAAATCTTAATGTCAATGAAATAATCCCTCAAATTATTTTGTTTCACCACCTCTTTTGTCCTTTATAAAGATGACTTTATAGCATTTTTAAGTGATGACTTTGATAAATTTGGTTTTGTACTAATACAACAATATTATAGATTTTTTATAAACTTATTTGATGGCATGTTTTTAAAAATAATATGATTCTATATATTCCTTTAAAGAACCAATTAATTGCTACCTTGTAACAAAAACATGTAAGAATATACACTATCGTAAAAAATATTATTGCTCGTTCTAAATAAATGTAAATCAAATTCATCCCTTTTAAAAAAGCATCCATGAAGCACAAATCTATTGAAGATCAATATGTTTTCAAAAGTTATTATTTTCTAGAAAAAAATTATTTTTGCAGTCAAATTACACACAAATATTACTCAGTAACACAATAATGCACTAAACTCACGATAATATTTCTGTTTTGGTTTACTCTTCACTTTTAAAATCAGCAACAAAAAGGAAACCAACTCCAAAAGATATTGACTAGTGAAAAACGAACATTTATGTTCCAACAACTTTCCATTGTGAATTAGATTTCTATGGTTGATTCTGAAAATTAGTATTGATCGTATAGAAGCTTTAACATCAATAATCAAATAGAACAAAAACACAGCATAATCACTTAATTCTAACTATAGATTATATTGGCCTCCACAAATACCATTTATTTATTTACAATGTCATTCTTCTCTTCCACTCAAGGGGTAATTAACATTTTTTTGTCTTTTGCTTGTAGGGTCTTCGTGATAAATAACAGTTGTCACTCTCAGATAAGGCTTAATAAGGGTCAGCTTGGTTTGGATTGGATTCCACAAACCATATTTGCTGGGACAGCTATGTCAATCATTTTAGGATATGACAGGTTAAGATCTGTTGCACAAATCAAGCGTACCATTAGCAGTTATATTTGCAACAAAGCATGTAAAAAGATAAATTTGTCTAAGCTTTTATAAAATTTATCTAGCACTTACTTGCCATGATGTTCTTGAAAGTTTCCTGGAAAAGAAGGGACCAACATTTTATAAGTATAATACAAATTTAACATACACATTTTTCAATTTTTTAGCTAAATGTTATAAGTCCAACTTCTCTCGCCATAATTAGAAGTTCTACTTTTAGAAACTCATTGCAGGAATAAAAAAGGATAAAATGCCTCCTCCCCTTTACATTAACATATTAGACCAAATGGCATCTCCTAGCAGATAGCTCAGTGAATGATAGACGGAGACTGTAATACTAAGTTCATTCAGAAATCGTCAACTACGTACATAGTACATACAGATTTGCTTATGAATAGGACAAGTTCTATCTATCATCTATCAATTCAGAAGCAATGTAATGTTCTTTCTTTTAAGAGCCATTTTTGGTTTGAGAAATTTTTTTCCTATTTTCAAGTATTTGTATGGGAAACAAAATGAAAACAAGATGACATTTTTTATAATTAAAAGTGAAAACAGAAAATGAAAATAGAAAACACGATAAAGCAGTTGTCTGGATTTTATTTTAAGCATTCATAGCCAGTTACGTGTATAATCTCTTATTAGGGTTCTCAAAGGAGTTTTTTCTCATGATTAACCACCTTAAGTTTCAATTAGTGGATTGAGCTCATAAAATATGGATATTCAAACATTACCTCATCCTTTGTTATGCGGGGATTATATTGCAGCTCCTCTCCAACGGTACTTACCTAAAATCAGTAATATGTATAAGCAACTCACAAAAATTTGGCAAGCAAAAAACTTAATAGTATCCTTACGGTGAATCCTTTGTAGTCATGAGCTGGATAGATTAATGTATCCTTGGGCAGTGTTAAAATCTGTTTCCAAAAAATATGTGTGTTTAAGTATTAATACACAAATTTAATAAATCAGAAATATCTTATTCTTATCTCTTTTAGTTCTTAGTCTACTTTTCTAAGCTTCTGTTTAACATAATTCACAATCACTGTCAAGTCCATGCCTGTGAATGGATTGATTTGTAAAGCTGCTCTGAACTCCCACCCTGCATAATAATTAATGGGAATTAGATACCAATGAATAATTTTGAGATGATATTGGAAAATAGCCAGTAAGATAAAATTGAGGTAACATATCCTTTGTTCAAATGCAACGTTGTCACCCTTGAGAAGTATAACTAAAGAAAACAGGATAATAGTATAAACCTGAAAGTCTGTCCTTCCACATCCACGTATTAAAAGGGTATCTCCCGTGAATGCCATCCTCGGTTGAGGTTGATCAGGTGCATCTCCAGTAACATAGGTAATGCAACCCAAAGTATGACCAGGAGTGGCACGAACCTACAGCAATAAAACAAATAATATATATTACAGAGTAGGGTACAATAAAGAATAAGTCATAACATGAGCCATCACACCCTTGCACAGGAAAGTATGATCCATATGACAAATACATGAACAGAAAAACAATCCTTGATAACTGAAACAGAGAAACACTAAATGAGGGAGTACAAGTCCTTTGCCTGGATCATTTGTTTTTTAATATCCCAAGTATATGAGGAGTGACGACTGTTAAGACAAACATCTGTATTTCATCTATAATAAAAACAAAGGTGAAATTGATCGAGTCCCTAGATTGAACTCTAGGAAAGGATTTAGCATATTGGGCCAGTAACATAAAGGGTCCTCAATTTGGAAAGTGTATGATAGAAGGAATTGGAAGGTTTCTAAGTTAGATGAGTGGCAAGTTGTTAGCATTTGAGGGGATGGTTCCCATGTGTATGGGGGTTGTATAGATTGAGAGGGCATGAGAGATGCGGGAGGTTCATTTTTGTTGTCAGGCCATTTGGCTGGGCAGAGGAAGTGATTTGTCTATCGTATCAACTATCAACTAATTGCGCTTGTTTTCTGATTCAATAAAACCATCATTTCTGTTCTAGTTCCGGCTTCCTAACAGAAATCACCAGTGATTGGCCTCTTCCATTTCTCTGCACAAGATTTCAGTTGAATACAAGCCAACTTTCAACACTATCACATTTTGTTTAAGATCAAACTGCAAAAAAAGACACATTACTGATCTACCCATTTACTTGACTAATCAGAGCTCTTATCATCTAGAAATACTATTAGTCATATCTTAAATGATGTTGTAATACTAGAAACTAAACCAGCATCTATAATTAAAATTTTTGGTCAAAATAAATAATAAATACTCCTCCGTGATTTTCAATGTAGTCCAACACAATTTTCAATTAAAATTTTTCACTTCCAATTCCTTAACCAATTCCCTAGGGTAGACTCATATTTTACCACCCTTCCTAATTTTTGAGTTTGTAGACTCAAGGTTCAAATTTATCAAACCCTATGAAGAAATAGACAAGTCAGCATATAGAATCGCTCATTCCCTTATCTAAAACTTGATGAAATGTTAATATAAGGTACCTTTGATAATTCCATCAAACAACTCTCAAAACAATTTATGACACTGATTACCACAAATTACGAAACAAAAATTTCAGGACAACGTCAAACTAGGTGTGCACCTGCAGACTTACCTCTAGAAAAAGATCACCGAAAGGGATTTTATCACCTGGCTCCACATGAAGATCTGCTGTTGCACCACTCGCTTTTGAAATTACAGATTTTACATCAGGAACTTTGCTCTGTATAAAATAAGCGAATAACAAAATACACTACATTACTACCACAGCAAAGTAATCACAAATATTGGATCAGAATATACCTCACTTAAAATTAAGTTGGAAAAAACGATATCAAAATCATTTATAAATTGAAAAAAGAATGATTCAGAAGCTGCAAACCTTGATGAGGCCAGTCCCAGTGACATGATCAGCATGTACATGAGTGTTCATGGCATAGACAAGTTTCAATCCAAGTTGTTCGACAAGTGACAAGTCTCTATCAACAGTCCTATCCACCGGGTCAATCAACTGAAATTTGGATAAAATAAAAAACTCCATCAATCACCAAAAATAGAAAGAAATAAAAAAAGCCATCATCCAATGCAATAAAAGCCTCCGACCCACATAAAAAAATCCCCACAAACATCAAAACCCACACTTCAGAATTGAAATTTTACTCAAGTTTCAACCCAAGATGGAAATTCCAGAGAATCTTACGAGTGCTGGTTTTTCTGGGTGTGAAGCATCAGCGAGAAGGTAGGTGTAGGTGGATGATTCCTTTTCGAAAAGCTGGCGAAACAAGAGCTTGAAGGAAGATGAAGTGGAGAAAGAACCCATTTGCGATCTTACCCTGATGGGATTATGAATTGTTTTGGAAATGGGAGAAAGAGGAAAAAGAGAGGCTTTGGAAGCAAAGAGAGAGAGTGAGGTGAATTGGAATCGCAGCATTTTTGGTAGCATAAATAGTGTCACTAAAGGGGCTGAGGATAGAGGTTGAGGACAGAAGGTGTTGGTTGATGTTGTTGTTGGGAATACAATAACGAGTTGATGACGATGATATCCATCAAGTTGGCATTGCCAAAGTCGCCATTGGTTGGGTTTTGAGTTGAAGATGTCACGTTGGTTGCTTATGGATTTCCCATACTGCTTGCTGTCTTGTGTTTTTTATATGTTGCTGTGTTGTCCTTACGCTTTGTTTTCCACTCCACTCTCGGGATTAGCAGGTTCATATGACATACTGGCCATTATGCGTGCCACATGTTTGTCCAATTACAAATATTGACAATATCTTCTCATACATATTAATACTAATGTAAAGGTAAGTCTAAAAACTAACTTTTCATGTAATTTATATTTAGTAAATTATAAATTTATTATTTTATTAATCGTTAAATATAAGTTAAATAAAAATTTTAATTTTTTAGACTTAATTTATATAAATAATTTTATTTTCGAGAAATGTATTTTATTACTTTTAATATACTTTGTTATCTTTGTTTACACTCGTAACTAAACAGACCAAACAATATATAGGGACCAATTCCACAGTTAGTTGAAAATTATTTTACAATCACGCCAACTGTAAGACAATAATAAGAATCTTAATACAGATATTTTATTTTTAAAAAAATTAAATAAATTTAATATTTTGTATTCTTTTAAAAATTATAATAAATTAAAATATACATTTAATTTACACTTACTTATAAATTAATTTTTATTTTACAAAAATTATAATTATACTATATTTTAGTTTAAGATGTTATAACAATAAAATTCAAAATGTAATAAAATATTAGTATAAAAATTAAAATATATTTTTTTAAATACAAAAACTAACTTATAAATAAATATCAATTATAGAGATTAAATATATATTTTAATCATAAATTATTTATGTATCAGGTTTAAAAATACAAAATAAATTATTAAACATTACCATTTTTATATTAGTAAATCTTTCATTAGTATTTTTATGAAATCGAATATTATTTGTTTATTTTGTTCTTTCAATTTTTCATGATATTAGTTTAACTATTTTACGGCTATGGTTAGTAAAATTAGAGAATAAATTAAATAAAATTAGGCTTAGAGTTTAAAATTGATAAGTTAAGTAATTGAATTAAAAATATTTAATTAAATTATCTGTTAAAATAGTTAATATATATAAAGGTAAAAATAGGTTGGGTGAAAATAGCTCTGAGCTTAACTTGATTTTTAAATTTAAGGCTACAAGTTGGACTTGTTTAACTAATTTGGACCCGTTATTAAGGCTTGAATTGGTCTTTTACCTAACTTACAAGTCTATATAAAAACCCTATATTATAATAAGATTTTTTAAATATGTTAAAAAAACTTATCTAATAAATTACATAACTTAAACTTGTTTATAAATTTAAGTCTTTAAATAGGATAAATATACAAATTCAATAATAATAATAATTCCATCCAACAACCTTTCATTCCTTCGAGACAATGAGATGGATACATGCATGCTGCCACCAATAAAATAAAAATAGGAAAGTTTATTTTTTTACCTTTTATTTCGCACTTCACAAAAATAAATTATATATTATTATATTATTTATGATGATAGAAACAAGTTTTTTTTTATTTTAGCATAAAATTTATTTTTGAAATAATTAATATTTCTGAAAATTAATTTTTTTCCAAAAATAGTTAATATTTTCATAAATTAATTTTCAGAAATATAAAAACATAAATTTAGAAATTAATTTAATTTTAAAAAATTATTTCAGAAGTGTAGAATTCTAAATTTAAAAACTCATTTAAAAAAAAAAGAGATTAACAATTCTTAAAACTAATTTCTCGAAGTATAAGAGTATAATTTCAAATATTTTTTTTCAAAAAAAATGTCAAGATTAACGGATCGACCAAAGTATATTTTTAATGATGAACTAAATATTTTATAATACATTTGATACAATTAACATATATATAGAGTAACCATACTTAAAATATAGTTGAAGAATGTAGCAATAGAAAAATAATGAATCTTAAAACTGTAAAAAAAATGTGGAAAAAAATAAAAGTGAAAATAAAAATAGACAAATATATATTTTTAAAATTTAATAACTTAAATATTTGTTAGGAACATTTTTTTTAAAATATATAGAGCAAACCCCTCAAACAGACTCTTGTTTGAGCTCTGTGAATTAGTCAGTTATAACACAAAGGTTGGGTTTAGTGTTGAAAAAAATTGGATTGGGCTTAATAAAAGTTTAGCTGAGCCGTCAAAAAGACTGAAATTATAAAATAAAATATTTTTAACCCACTCATTTTCGTTTTGTCCAAAGCATATATCAAAAGACGTTTTAAGTCTAAAGATTTTAAGATTAATCATTATTCATTACAGTCGATAAAAAAACCAAATTTCCGGTCATTTTTTGTGATTTTCGTTACTCCAAAAGAATTTACACCACTCACTTTTATTAGTTACACCACTTTTTTGTTTTATTTAATTTTTATAAATATATTTAATATATTTTAAAAAATAATATTTAGAAATCATTTGTAAATTAATTATAAAGATTAATTTTTAAAATTAATTTTTATTTTTCAGAAATTAAATTTTAAAATACATTTGGAAATTGCTTTCAGAATTTCGTTTTCAAAATTAATTGTATAACTTTAAAAAGTAAAATGTAAAAGTAATTTATAAATAAATTTTAATTTTTTAGAATATATTAAATACAGTTTCAAAAATTAAAGTTGTGATGTAACAATAAAAGGAGCAAAACAAATAATAAAAAAAGATAGTGCAAATACTATTTTTCTTTAAAAAATCTTAAGTAGGTAATTGGATTAAGTTTATTTTAATTTAGATAAGAAATGTGTACAAACCAATTAGAAATATTTGATTTTGTTAGAGTGTAATTTTGAGTAACCTGAACCAAACTAACCGGACGATGATTATTTCTTGGTTTGAATAAATTTTTAGAATTTTTTATAAAAAATAGTATAAAAATAAAAAAAATTCACTTATAAGTTAGAAAGAATTTATATTTCTGTATTTTTGAAAAAAAATATTTTTATATAATTTTTTTTAAAATTTAACAAAATAAATTATTTCTAACTTATAAGAAAAATGTTATTTATTTTTTATATTAATTTTTTTCCTATAAAAATTTCTCTAATTTTTTTCTCAAACTAAACCTAAGTTGGTTCTCAGTAAGTTTCCTATAAGTTTATTATTCTTTTTAAAAATTAAAAATTAAAAAATTAAGAAAAAATTTTAAAAGAAAAAATATTTAAGATATAATATCATTTATTTGGTAAAATCATAGATTATGATGAACAAGTCATCAAACATGTCTTAGGTCATCAATTTTATATTTTAAAAATTTAATATCTAAACAATTTATATTATGTTTATTACAATTATAATTAAATTAAACTAAATAATCACAGGAACTTATCCTATTATGTTTTGTTGAACACATTCATCAAAAGTAAAATTCAAATCATATTTGGTTACATTTCCGAAAAAATTATTGAGTTAACACAAAAACTTATTATGTTTTGGGTTATTACAAATCAAAGCAACTACTAGCAATTTAAAGAGAATCTAAGCATCACTGAAAAGAAAAAAGTTCAAATTTCCTTTTGATGGGTATTAGAGGAGGGATTCAAGGTGATAGTTACGTAATTTACAATGCTTTAACAATTCCCAGTGAGCAGTGTTCTTGCAAGAAATATTTTAACACACAAGTTATTGAAATTTTGGTCAAAGTTAAGGTAAAAGTGGTTAAGATAACGTAAATGGGTCAAATAAATTCCTTCATTATCTAGACATTATTAATTTTGTTGTCTAGTACATCTGACACTATAATCCTACTTTTACACATTTATAGAGTGAGTCCATGCACATCTAATAAAACTATCATTTATTAAAAATGTGAAATTAAATTATTTATGTATAGTTATATAATTTTATAGGGTTGGAGATGTATTTTGTAAGAATGATTTTTTATTTAGAAAATAATAAATTTAGATTGTATAACTATATACAAATAATAAAAAATATTTTAAAGTCGTATAATCACTTAAAAAATCATGTAATTTTTTATAGTATCATGTTTTTTTGTTTTAATTTGACTATTCATAATAAAATTTTGTTTTCGTATTTTTATATAAAAATAATATTCTTATTTTTATATTCTCTCTATATCTGAAAATATATCTTATAAATTCAAATCGTAGAATTACGTGAGAATTACGTGAGAATGGCAATTTTGGTTTTACTTGTAGATAGGGTTTTACGTAAAGTATCACAATCTGGCTTTAACTTGGATATGGTCGACAAGGAATCATTTTCAAGTCATCTCATAAATTTTAGGATTGAATTGTCGAGGAAACCATGTTTTGATAATGTCTATTAATGACAGAGGTGTAACATTGCACTTCAGTTTGCCCATTTTATCTTATTGTAACATTTCAACATCCAAAGCATACGTGTCAGGCTTTCTGAAACGTGAAGACACCTGAAAATGAGACATGTGTGATTGACGTAGTAATGTCATGGCAACATGCATCAATGGAATGTATCAAAGTACATTTATAATATTTTATTTCTGCAAACCATAAGAGGAAGCATATAGAATAATATTTAGCATCTTTGAGTTTAAACAAACCATGTGAAGTCAACACGAGAATTAGAGCTTTGAAGAAGCAATTTGTTCCTAAATAGCTTGTTACTTTAGAAAATGAAACAATCTTTTTAATTCTAACTTTAGTGTAATGTCATTATTATTTGTATAAGCAAGCAACTACGTGTTCCATTACTTACGCCAAATAATCATGTCCCCATATTCCATATGAATATCCGTGTCTACGACTCCTTATCCATTAAAATATTATCAAAAGCACTTGGTGTTGTGTTGTGCACCGCGAAGCAAATTTTCAAAGAATGAGATAGTATTAAATTTAAATAATTACATTATCTAATACTTTTTTATATATAATATGATTGAATTATTTTATACTATCTTTATAATATGTATGTCAAATTTTATACAATCTAGATATTTATAAATATGTTATCTAAAATATTATATTTTTATATTTTAAAAATATATTATCTATTAAAGTAAAATAATACAATTAGATATTTATTAATTTTTTGTAAAATTAATCTATTGATAAAAATCTTAAAATTAATATTTAGATTAACTAATTTCATATTTTATAAAAAAAGTTTTAAATATTACAAATATTTAAGTTTAATATTAATTGTCAACACATTTTAACTCTTTTTCAGAAATACATAATAGCCTTTAAATACTAATGATTTGTAAATTTTAGAAGACAAAAGTGTAATAAAGACATATTAATTATTCATAATTTATATTTTTCATCATATTTGTTTAAGTAAACATAGTATATTTATGTTTCAAATGATATAATAATAAATTACATAAGCGCAAGAATAAGAATGAATGAATTAATAAAAAAAAAAAAGAATAAATTAACGAAGGTAAGTTTGAATGACAAGCGACTCAGTATTACTTGAACAATATTTCAAGTTTGAATCTTTGTATATACAGAAAATTTTAATAATAAACTTACCCATCACATTCAAGTTTGTGATTTGGGTTGAATTTGGATTAAATCAAATAAAAAATAAAAAAAAAAGAATAAGAATAAAATAATTTTAAAAAATTAGTTTTTCATAAAAAAAATTAATATTAATATTTTGTTAAAGGTTATATATATTAATGAAAAATATTAAACACTAGAATTATATATAATATTTGTCTAATAAAAATCAATAAATATAACGGTGTGTAATCCGATAAAGGGGATGATGATTTCGACTTTATTCAAAATAATGAGGAAATCTACGCATGTGGAAAAAGACTTCCTCCTTTGGGAGAGAGAAGTGTGGTGCCTTGTTGTTTCAATCCATTTAAAAAATAACACGCATATAAAACATAAAAAGAAAAAAGGTATAAGATTGTGTTTTATCTTAATCTAAGGTGTTAATTATTACATTAGAAATGTCAAAAAAGAGAATTAAAAGTTAGTAGGGACAAGAGCAAGAGTAAGTTGAAGTCTTAGATACACAAATATGAAATATCATTATTATCATAAAACTAGATAATATAAAAGATTATTTTTTTAATAAAAAAAGAAGAATAAAAATAAGAAAGATAAAAAAATCATGATAATTATGATTTGTTGCTGCTGCTTTAAGTAATAATCTTATTTTTATATGTGATCATGAAATAATTAATATTGTATTTAACTAGAATACATGGATAAATAATAATAACGATGTTACACTATATATTATACTAAAGAATAAATAAATTTTGTTTTTAGTCTTACAAAAATATACTTTTTTAAACTAGTCTCAATTGAATTTTTTTTAGTTTTGTAAAATTTTAAATAAAAAAAATATTCTATCATTATATTTAACAGTATTTTAATATTTAGAATCAATTAACTTGCAACTTTTTAAAGTTTTTTAATTCTTTTAATTTTATTGTTATAAGAAAAAGTTTATTTTTTTTTATTTAATATGAAACTAGGTATAATTATAATAAGCCTTTTTACCTCACACATAATAAGTCTTATTTTATACAATATAACTTTTTTTAATTATTTTAAAAATATTTCTCGAAAAATAATATTTTAAACTTAAATAACATCAAATCATCAAATATTATTAAGAAAAAGATAAGGTGCAAAATATATCTTAACTAAATGAAATTTAATGATTTAAGAGATAATAGTAGGGTTTATTAAAACAATTTTTTTTACAAAATTAAAATTAAAACAAAAATTTAATAGAGAATTAATTCTAAAAATATATGATAATAACTACATTTTAAAATTATTTGTGTAAGCCTCCTTAAATTACACACATCTTTTTGACACCAATACAATCAAGTCACATGAGCTATTACCATTCGCATCAACAGTTCTAACATTTATAAATGCATCAAGCAACAACTTTATGACCCCAGGAAAGATAGCCTCACCTAACCCACAAGCCTAATTAACACCAATAGGACCGGTTCCAAATATCTAAAATAACATTTTAGTTCCAGAAACTTCCAACAAACACTTTCTTTAATGTTTTCACTTAAGTGAATGTCTATAACTTAATGAAAATATCATTGAAATTATTTTTGTTTAAGTAAATTTTAATTTGCTAAAACAAAAATAAAACTGAACATTTTGTTCTTGTATAAACTAGAAAGCATCTAGATCTTATATCAATACTTCTTTTAAATACTATTTGGACACAGTTATTAAAGAATATAATATATTTAAAGCTATTAAAACTTTAATCATTAATTTTAATTAATAATTAAACATATAATTTAATATTTAAAATCATCTCCAACTAGAAAAAATAAATTAAAAAATACTGTAATTGTTTATTTATTTTTTACCTTAATTTGGTAGCCCATCAATCATTTTCAAGGTTTATTATAATTATAATTGTTCTATCTATTTTTTCATTTAAAAATATATTAACAAATTAAGAAGCATAATTATTAATTAAAATTATTTTAAAAATTTAAGCATCACACTCACATTAATATAACATATTTAAAAAATAAATAAAAATATAATTAAAAATTAACGTTACTTATAATCTTTAAATAAGTAGACAAATAAAAATAAATTTTAAATTGAGTAATATAAAAGATAAAAATATATAATTAAATTTAAATATATTTTTATACTTATGATTTCTTTTAGTCTTTATTTTGGTGCTTATATTTTGCTATTTTTTTTTATTTTAGGCTTCTGTATTTTACATAGTCTCTCAATAAATTAATATATAATAATATTTTAATTCATCACATCATTACTTAACAATCATTAAAAATTAAAGGAAAATAATTTAAAATAAAAAATAAAAAACTTGCAAAGCATACAAATAAAATAATATATTTAAACGGTATAGTTATCATATTTTACAGGTCACACGAAAAGACATTTATGCCACAATACCAAATCAAATGAATATACCGCGACCTAGACACGGTTAGCTGTCGCTATCGCTGTGTTTGTAACTGAATACGATGTCGGCTAGTGGCAATCTAAGTATTTATAAATTGAAAAATTTTATGAAAGAAGTGTATGTTTTTATATTATAATTATAAAAACATATGAATTTTTAAATAAAATTTATAATTATTAATTTTTTATTTTTAGGCTCAATTTTGGATTAAAAAATATAATAAATTAATTGATAAAATAAAAGATAATATAATATTTTTTATTTTATTATGTTCATGGCACTTTATCCTTCAAAAGTCAATATTAAAAAAGATTTGATGAAAATGTTTTTAGCTTTATACAATAATATTCACTATAATATATATTTTTGTCTATATAAAAATAGTATTATTGGAAAAAAGTTTTTAAATTTTTTTTATAAGGATCAACTCATCAAAATGTGAGAATAATGTGCTTTCTAAATTTCTTTTTGAAATTCCTGTTACTGCTTTGTTCTGCATTGAAGTTCTTTGACACGCGCTCTTTGAGAATGCCAAAGAAAAGGCCAGTATTGGAGATTAAAAATAAATAAGAAATGGTTAATTTTAAAAAAAATTTAAAACTAAGTTATTATTATTATTTATATTGTTATCAATTTGTATTTTATAAAAAATTATTTAAATTTTTATTTTAAAATATAATTATGAAATAAATTTATTCTAAATAATGAAAATTTTAATATATATTTTTATATACTCTTTTAGTATTTTTTATGAAGAATATCAATTTTTTAATATTATTAAGTAACTTAGGCATTATATTAATAAAAATAACATTTAATACTAAATGCCAGGATTTTATCAAGTAATCATATATATTATATTTAATACTAAAGAGCAGTAATTTTACTTATATATATATATATATATATATATATATATATAGATATATATTAATTTTAACATAATTTAATATATTAATATAATTAAATGTAATAATTTTAATAAATTATTATGCATAAATATTTATTACAAGTTAGACAAATTAAAATATTATTTTTACTAATTATTGTCATTAAAAAAATTATTAAACACGTGAATTAATTTGTAAGAGTTATTATTTTAATTATAATTTTTAATTTTAGTAAATATAATTATATGAATTTTTTTTTAAATTTCATTGCATAGTAAAATAAAAAAGATATTTATAATGCCAATAAAAATTAGTTACAATAATAAATGACTTAATATCACTTAAATAAGATCTCGAATTAAAAAAAATTAATTATTTTATTAAAAATATTTTAATTCTTTTACTTTTTAATTAATATATTTAAGATGATTATTTTATAATTATGTAAAAAATATGTAAAAAAAGTATAATTATAAATTTTTTTTGCCTCTCATACTTATGAGTTCTATTAATTATTAAATAAAAAATTTAATAACTATTTTTTTTATATTTTTAAGATGATAAATATAAGTATTCTTTTATTTAACACTTGTTTATAAAGTAAAAAAATATTATTAAAATAAGTTTTTATACTCTCTACATATATGTTAGTTTATTCTATACAGTGAATATTAAATAAAAGAAAAAAATTTAACTTTAAAGGTTAAATTAAATAAAATATGAAAATTTATTAAAAACACTTATTAAATCAAGAATCTAAAAATATTATAAATATTTAATATTTAATAGTTTTCCTATTTTTAATGTTAAAAGTCAAGTTTAAATATTTAAAAGTAGAATTTTATTAAATATTTAATAAATTTTTTATTTTTAATAAAATGTTACTATTTTTAAATATATAAGTAAAAATACATTTAATATTATAAATAATAAATATAAATAATTAATAGTATGAAAATATTAAATATGTTATACATAAACTTGTGAACATTATATGGACATACAAAATCTAGTTATTTTGAAATAAAATTACTTGTTTTGTCCTTTTAAGGGTTGAAACTCACTTTCAGATTTTCAGTGGAGAACTGAGTGCCGACGGCCGACACGTCGTATTCAACGCACCCATTTGTTGACACGACATTCAAACTTGATTACAGTTACGCGGACACATTTACCAAATTACAATAATACCCCTCATGCATTTTGCAAATTACACGATCCTGTAACCTTCCCTTTGTCTTTGCAATGACGGCATCGCTTCACTGTTTCAAATCAAAATTCAAAGGATTCAATTCAATTCCCCTGGACCCCTTGATTGGGACACACTCTCGTTGGAAGTTATCCTCTGATCATTTTTTTAACATTTTAATTCTTCGTTTTTCTGACCCAAATTCCTCTTCTTCCATGTTCATGTCACAACAGTACCGGATCTCTTTTTTGTATATGAATATTTAATTATTAAAAGCCTTTAAGCAAGTGGGGTTAGGGCTTAAGATTCAGTTTTTTAATATTTCATGTTTGGGGGTTCCCTCTCGGACACGTATTTTGCGTATTATTGGGCTGAGGATTGGATTTGGATTAATGGGGGTGGATAAAGGTTGGAACTTGGTTAAAAGGAGTGGTGATTTCAGTTAAGGGGGGTGTGAGGTTTTTGCAGTTGTTTTTTTTCTGGGTGGGATTTGAAGGGGATGGATATAACGGAAGTTTCAATCTTGCATCATGTGGGGATTGTGTTGATTGCGCTCTGGATTCTATCTGCATTGAATTGGTGCCACACGGTTGTTTATTTTGTGGCTCTGATCTACCTCTATCTGGTGAGAATTATGGTTGTGAATTTTGAAACTTTTGGGTATTCTTAATTTTCGTATTTGCCTTTTATCTTTGTTTTTGCCTTTTTAATTGGTGAGTTGGTGATGTGGAAAAGGAACATTTTCAAGTGGATCATGTTGTGGGTTTTGCATGTTTTGTTGTTTTTGTTTAAGGGTAGAGAAAGGGATGGGAATATTGAATATTGTGATTCTGACTTTTGATGTTTTTATTTTACTTTGGGAAGGTTCATGAGCGTTATGTTACCAGGCTGCGGAAGAAGTTGCAGTTTGAGGAGAGGAAACAAGCTAATCAAAGAAGGGTAATTCTACTGGTTTTACGTGGTTATTTGATTTTTTTTGTATGGATTGAAGTTTGAGGAAGAAGGGAGTTTCAAGGGAATTAACAATGGGAAATGAAGAAAAGGAAACTAGTGTGTTTGAAATAAATTCTTCTTTTCAAGTTAAACCCTATTCTTGGCTCTTGAAACTGAATCTGATGACGAAGTTACCATGTTTTGAATGGATTTTTACTTACTCTCTTCGATGATAGTCCAAGATTAGTTTTTTGTTTCTTTGAAAACAAAGCTTTTCATTTGATCGCAAAAATAAAATTACATTACTTAATTAAAGGATGTATAATGACTAAAATTATGAGAATAGGAAACAATACTTTTTTGTGATTTTTTTCTTTTGTAAATTAATTAATACTAATATGCAGTTTTTTAAAATTGTCTTTGAATTTATCATTGTGAGTTTAAATTTGATATGTGATATTGTAATTGCAATTTGCAAAGGATTGTGTTATGATGATTTATTGAAGATATCTTGCATAATGGTTTTTCTTGTACTATAGGTGCTTTCGGACACTGAAACAGTCCGGTGGTTGAACCATGCCGTTGAAAACATATGGCCCATATGTATGGAACAGATTGCCTCTCAGAAGATTTTACTCCCTATCATACCTTGGTTCTTAGAGAAGTACAAACCTTGGACTGCTGTAATGACTCGTACTGTTCCATTATTTGTCTTTGATAGTGCTTGATCAAACAATATGAAAAATCTGATATGAATTTCATATTCTCAATGAGACTTAGACCAAGAAAGATGTTTTTTTATTTCCTTTTTATCTCTCCTATATTTTGGTTTTTTTTTTTGTTTGTGTGAGTATAAAATGTTACTTTGACTTTTGGTGTGATCAGATATTGATATCTATATATTATTATTTTTACAGAAAGAAGCTGTTGTTCAGCACCTATACTTGGGAAGAAACCCACCTTTGTTTACTGAAATCAGGGTACTTCGCCAGAGCAATGATGACCACTTGGTATGGTCATATTTTAAAGCACATATAGAGAGAATGTCTTGTTCAGCATGTGACTGATTCTTTTTTTTTCAGTCTGATTTTGATATTACAGTGTGATCAATGCAGGTTCTGGAGTTAGGAATGAATTTTCTCACGGCTGATGATATGAGTGCTTTACTTGCTGTGAAACTAAGAAAACGATTGGGCTTTGGAATGTGGGCAAAGCTGCACATTACGGGAATGCATATTGAAGGGAAGGTATGACAATGGAATTTTGATTTTACTCATCTGTTGAATATTAACATTCAATTGACTGGGTGAATAATTCATTATGAGATTTGTATAGTTCAAAGCTAATTTCATAAGATGAGAGAAAAGGGAATGATTTAAAATTTAAAATCATTATTAACTATTAATACTATTTTATTTGTCTATTCTGTAGGTCTTTGTTGGGATAAAGTTTCTCCCAACATGGCCTTTTCTTGGCCGTTTGCGTGTATGCTTTGTTGAACCTCCATATTTTCAAATGACTGTCAAACCTATATTTACTCATGGGCTTGATGTGACGGAACTTCCAGGCATTGCTGGGTGGCTAGTAAGTATACCTTGATTGTACAAAGAATCCATGCTCATCTTTATTTGCTCATATGCTGTAAGTAATTTGTGTTACCTTAATGTTTTCTTATATCAGGATAAGCTGCTGTCTATTGCTTTTGAACAGACCCTAGTTGAGGTGAAGTTTTTTCTCTTTTTGATGTTCTCATCATGTTATCTATTCTTAGCTTTCTAAGTTTGGCTTCTTGGGGTGTTGAAACAACGATATAAAATTATCAAGTGTTAGAATTCTTCACTTTTTAGTAGTTTCTGATGTTAGAAAACTATTGCAGCTTTTAATTTTTTCCCCCCTATAATTTCATTTTCAAAATTTTTGCAGCCCAATATGCTTGTTGTTGATGTTGAGAAATTTGCTTCACCAAAGCCAGGTAAATATATGCCATTCTTTTTTCATAGAATTTTGTAATAGCTGATTTACTTGGAAGGCTTGGTGATTGTTCTTCAAAATAAACATTTGGTATTGCAGTCATCAACATAACACAAACTTTTAGGCTACCGGTTTCTGGAAATCAATTATTGTTCAAATAAAGTATAAAATATGTCAGCTTTGCTAGTCTATGTTGCCAACCTTTAAACTGTACCACCTATTTGAACCCAGAAATATTCATAATGATTTGTTTGCTAAAACAGGACTTTCTTTTCCTCATGCATATGGGCTTGGTTTCTCTACATAGGCTCTGGAGGTCGACCGTTTATATAATATTTGGGTTGTGGAATTAGTCATAGTTTTGGATTGGAAATGATTTTGGAGAAACTTATGGTTGTCAATAAAACACTAGCCATTGGTCTTCTCTCATTACATATATTTAGTGAATATAGCACATTTCCATAACCCTCTGTCGAATCCCTATTATGCAAATCTTTTTTAGTTGTAACTCTGGAGTTCATAGACAATAACTTAACTTGTATTATGCTTTACATATTTGTTTGTATTATTAAATACTCATCCATCCATGAATCTTAATGCTATAGAGTCTTGGTTCTCTGTGGACGAGAAAGAACCTGTTGCTTATGCAAAAGTAGAAATTATTGAAGCATCTGACATGAAGCCATCAGATCTAAACGGTTATCCCTTTACCTGTGACAATTTCTTCTCAACCTCTTTTCTTTCAATTTTTATTAGTGTATAACACATTCTAGTGTGTTTCAGGATTAGCAGATCCTTATGTGAAAGGTCACATGGGTGTATACAGATTCAGGACAAAGATACAAAGGAAAACACTTATTCCAAAATGGCACGAGGAGTTTAAAATTCCCATCATAACATGGGAGTCTAACAATATGCTGGCTATTGCAGTTCGTGACAAGGACCGTTTTTATGATGATATCCTTGGGTTTGTTTCATTTTTTAAGTGTGTGTCCGCCCATATGTGGTAAATTGTAACAATTGCTTTTAAGACACTAGTTAAGGAAACAGAAAGAGAAAGTATTTAATGAAAAGGAAAACATTCATTATGTCGAGAAGATAATAAATATTTAATATTTGTTTTTTAAAGTAAATGAAAGCATTTAATATGCATTACTCTTTAATTGGTGCACTTAAAGGTATATGTTAGTAAGACCTTTATATTTGTTTTATTTTAAACTTTTTCCCTGAGAATCAACTTCATCTTGACTTGTCCTTTGCAGTATTATTATGATATCAATCTTACTAGATCTGGACTTATATTTAATATCTGTGCTTGATAACAATGATTACTAGTATGTACCATATTTGATTAAATCCTAGTAACCATTGATGGGACAGTAAAAGAACCATTTGTCTCATCCCCATGTTTGTTTCCAATATCTTGGTTTCTATTAGACTTCCTGACTATATCCTTAAGAATTTTGGAATCCGTTTGTGTCTGACTATATTTTTTCAATCTCTTATAGATTGATTTACTGAGTCAGAATCTGAATGTTGAATGTTTCAATGTCCCATGAGTTGGACAATATTTCTCTTTACATCTTGTTCGATCTCTTCTCTACTGCTGTATTTGATCATAAATCGCCTTGCTATCTTTTATTCATTGTGTATGTTTGCCATGATTTTCTGCCACTTATTCTGTCACTGGTGTATTCATCAGAATAATTGAATGTTGTTGTACTGTTTTCAGGGACTGTTCTGTGAACATCAATGATTATAGGGATGGGCAAAGACATGATATGTGGCGGCCACTTCAGAATGTAAAAATGGGGAGGTTGCATTTGGCAATAACTATTCTTGAAGCTAATGGAAAGGTAATTTCCTTCTCAAATATCTTGGCACTTACGAATATTTAATAAAGCGAGGAATTCTAATATGAACAGAATACAAACAAAAACGAAAAATAGGATGTGGGACAACAAATTGCCCCCAAGTTTTTTGACCTGTTGTTGGTGTTTGATTTCAATTTTGATTTTTTTCTGTTCAGGGAATTGATACTGCATGTGACCAGAAAACAATGGACATAGAAGGAAAAAATTCTTTTGCAAACGAGACTACTAATGAAAGTTCCTTCTCACATTTTACATCTGAAAATTCTGAAAAGTTGGCAGATAACTATGAGCCTATAGACATCAAAGGGCAAAAGGAGACAGGGATTTGGGTCCATCACCCAGGAAGTGAAGTTTCCCAAACATGGGAGCCTAGAAAAGGAAAGCATCGACGCCTTGATACAGAAATTCATGGGGAGTCTCAGGATTTAGTTGGAAGCTGTAATTCAGCTGTTTCTGGATCCTTAAACAATGACAGCAGCAGTCCTGATAGCAATCCTGAAGACAAGCATCGAATGAAATCGGTCAGGAGGGGCCTGCATAAGATTGGTTCAGTATTCCACAGAGGTAGAAAAAGAGAGGATCTGTCAGGTTCTGTTGGAGAGGAGTTGCCATCTCCTCGTGATAACATTAGGTCAGTGAATGCCAAAGGGATGATTGGTGTGCAGTTTGTCATGGATGATAACATTTCTGGCTTTCCAACTGGTAAGGTTCAGGAAGGAGGATCAACTGAAGGGAGTGGTTCTGAGAGCCCTGCTAAGGGACATGTCAAGGATGTGGCGAAGAATATTTTGAAACATGCAGAAAAATCGGCTCGTAGCTTCAAGCATGTTCTTTCTTGTAAGTCAAGGAAGTTTAAAGATGAGTCTTCAGCAGTTCCGGTGAGAGAACATGAATCTGACTCTACCGAAGATGAATCTATTGTTCAGTGTCCAATAGATGAAAGAATTCCAGTTAGTTCCCAGGATATGGCCTCATGCAGTGATGATTCCCCCATTTCCAGAGTGAAAGTGGTTCAGACGGTACCATCTAACGACATTAGTACGGACACTGAAGCCCCGATGAAGATCAATAATGTTGAAGACGACCCTGAAAAGGCATGCTCCCCTGACAGGTTTAGTGAAGAATTGGTGAAATCTGTTGTACCTGAGCATGAGAAAGAGGAAGTGGGGGCAGATAAAGGAGATCTTATTAGTTTGTCCCACTGAAGAATGTTTCGTCGAGTAAACGTTTACTCCACATTTTCATACTTGTATTCTCTTATTGGTACAGTCTTCAAAGTGAGTGTTTTCACAGTACTAGGAAGATTTTGATTACAGTAATGGTTGTTTTGGTGCTCGCCATAGATCGTTGCATAAACATGTTTGTGTTTTCAGGTTGTTGGAGCTTGTAAGCATGTAAATAACTTTACACATACAAAGAGAGAGAGAGAGAAATATGGCGGTGTCTCATGTTTCATGCAATTGTAGTTACTTATAAGACAAGAAACCATGCAGTATTCAAGATGTCCATTTTCTGTATCCTTGATTAGGAGTTATACTAAGGAGGCAAGCAATACATTCCTGAACACGTTGGTAATTAGTTAAACCGTTTAAACTGAAAATTCCCTCTGAAGGACTGTAGAACAAATTGAACTAAATTTTTAGATATGCCAATACTCCCACATGCTCTTGAATGCAGCCGCAGCAGGTACCCATGTTTTCTCATTCTCATGAACTGAGCCAGGGCAGAATCATAATACGCTTGATGTAGCATCATGGCTTAGTTGAGGAATTTACAACATGGTCCATGCTTAGTGTCTCTGTAATAATATCCCATAATAACCACACACATCACAGATCTCATGCACTAATATTTGCAGATGATGAGTAACTATGCAGATCAACCTTAGTAGTACTTGAAAGATTAAAACTATCACATTGATCCTGAAACATGCATTCCGCCAATCCAATTAGTCCTGAAAGTTTCGATCTTCCAGGCTTAATTTCATAAAATAAATCCTGAAACACTATTCATTTCTTTATCACATCACATCTCATCCCCCATCACATCTATTAGAAACATTTTCCCGTTGTTCATCCTTCAAAATATCATCAACACACACACACACACAACTCATTTCCTGTGAAACAACACATTTAACAACCCGCTTCCACATCCCCATTCTCGGCACAAAACCTTGCCTAACCATACCTCTAAGAGCCCAATCAACATCCCAAACCAAACCCCTCTCACAAAACCCCAAAACCAAACCTTTATAAGCCACATAACTAGGAACAAAACCCTCCAAACCCATCTTCTCCAAAACCTCTTTCGCTTCACCAAACCTCTTCTCCTCAACAAACCCACACAAAACCTCATTATAAGACCCAGCATTAGGGTAACACCCTCTTCCTACCATCCCCTCCAACAATTTCTTCCCTTCCTCAACCCTCCCCTTCTTCCTCAACCCCCCAATCAACACATTAAACACAACCACGTCAACACAAACCCCACTCTCCTCCATTCTCTCCAACAAACCAAACGCTTCCTCCACCATCCCCTTCTCACACAACCCCTTCATCAACGTAGCAAAAGTCCTCGCGTTCGGTTCAATCCCTAATTTGGGAAATTCGTCGAACACCTTAAACGCAGCGTTTAACTCGCCGCGAGCACACAGCCCCTTGATGAGGATGTTCAACGAGCAAGCGTCGAGGTCAACGCCTAGTTCAGGCGCAGCAAGGTAAACGCGGTGAACGACGTCGTATAGTTTGGAATTGACGAGAAGGTTGAGGAGAAAGTTAAAGGTTCGAGGCGAAGGGGAACAATGGAAGGAGGGCATGTCGAGAAGAGTGTGGAGCGCGTGGTCGATGCGGTGGAAGGTGTGGGAGTAGGTTCTGATGAGGGTGAAGAAGAAGTGGTCGGAGAAACGACGTCGTTGGGGACGGTGAAGTTTGAGGGATTGGTGGAGGGTGTGGATTGGGGTTAGATTATTGGATTGGGCGAGTTTGGTTATGAGCGAGACGTAAAAGGGTTCATTGGGGTCAAAGTCGTAGCGTGAAGAATAGAGATTGAAGAATGGGAGGGAAGATGAAGGGTTGATGAGTGAGTTTAAGAGGTTTGTGGCTTCTTTTGGGGTTAGCCAATCCTTGTGTTTGAGTCTTTCTAGAATCTCTTTGTCTCTGTTAGGGATTGGAATTGAAGAAGAAAATGGTGATGATCTTATTGAGAAGGTGCTTTTGAGAGGGTGGACTGCAGCTAGGGCTCGTGAAATCATTTCGGTTTTCAGATGTCCAATGGTTTTGGATTGATTTATATATTTACCTTGTCATAACACTATATAAAGGGGTTCTGTAAGAAGCAAACGATGAAGGAAGTGATATAATTTGTATTTACTTTTTTACACCATGAATACATGCAAGTTTAGATAAATTTTTTAATAAATATTTGTAAGACTAAAAAAAATTAAATAATAATATATTTTTAGAATTTATTTTTGTTTAACTTTTTTAAATTTTAGAACGATAAGTTATTTTTAAATTATAATTTTTTTATTTTTATATTATTTTTTTAATACAAAGAGTTATTTATAAACTCTCTCAAATTGGATCATTAAATGCTAGTTTTCTTTTTATTGTTTCATTCAATTTAAATATATTTTTTAAAAAAAAATAGAAAAAGTCTTACATGATTCTCAATATAAAGTAAATGACTCAGAAATTTTCGATTTCAGTAGAATGGATTCTTATGTTTTTTTTTTCCAATCAGGCCTTAAAAATAGTTTAAACAATTTATACAAATAATTTGTATTTACCTTTTATACCAAAAGGACAAGTGAGAATTTAGGCATGTTATTCTCAAACGTAAAATCTTAAATAAAATATTGAATCATGGAACTTATAGGTGCTGATATTTAGAGAAATATGACAAATAATAAAAAAACTATCTTGCTAACACTTTGTTTTCAAAGGGATGCAAGCCAATAAACCTATAATACATTTTTTCTTAATCTATTTAGCAAGTTAAGATCTTGTTACACTTTATTAACATAGACAAACTCATTTTAGATGGAAAAAATTGTAAAATGATGATAAAAGGTAGCAAATTTTGTGTGGCAAGTATTATACAGAGTATAGAATAGTGATCTTTGCATGAAGCAAAAAGTTTTAATTTCCTTTCCTTGAACTTATTCAACTAAGCATTAAGAAACAATAATTTCCTCTTTTGTACAATAACATGAATGCAGCTGTACATGCTGTAACTTGTATTCTATATAGTTCCTAAAATCTTTCTACATAATATCAAGATATTAAATGTTGTTTTACTATACAAAAACAAGTATAAGAATAATGATCAAGTTCTGTGCTTCTTCTTTTTCCCTGCAAGAATTGGTTGGATTTGCAAGTGCCTTTTGAATGCCTCATTGAAAAGAATACGAGCATGGAAGGCTTTAATGATTGGTAACCATGCCAATATAGCTATAGGTCCGAAAAGAACTATACCCATTCCATAATCAAATTCTCTAGCAAGTGCACGTGTGAAGTCCCACAATCCTGTATGCTCTATCATTGGTCTTGCTGCTTGTGAAATCTGAACCAGCAAACATATTTCAGCTTTTTCACGCAAAAATTTGTTATTTTGAAAAAAATAACATTTTAAAAAAAATTGTAGTGTATTTGATTAAGTTTTTGATAAAAATTAGAATTTTTTAAAAAAATTATTTTGAGTAGCTACTTTGAGTAGTCTCTTAAAAAGAATTAAAATTAGAACTACTTTTTTTAAAAATAAATGTACATTTTTATAATTATAGTAAAATAAAAAATAACTTCGCCTTTACATAAAACTCCAAGAGATAAATTACACTTTTGCATAATTTTAAAACCACTTTTTTAAAAACTTAAACAAATAAGGTTAAAGAAAAAAGGTGACAATTTAGCTAAAGCAAGGTTGCTAAGGACTATTACCAGTATCAATCCCCATGCAGTTGGCATGAATGCAAGACAGCAAACAAAAAGGTCCATCAATGACAATTCACATATAACAGAAAGAGTAATGATGATGGAAATAACAGCCAGGAACAGGAATGCTTTGAAAAATCTGAATCCAAGTTGATAATTAGCACTAAGTAGTTGCCTTCCCATGTTAACAGCCTGCAAGCATGTTTAGACTATGTTATTAACATGCAATGGTATTTGGAGTATTGAGAAGTGGTAAGGACACACTCTCTAACACACTCTTTTTAATACACTTCTAGTTATAGGTTAAAATTTATTAAAAATTACAAAATATGAGAGAGAATTATTAAATTAAGCGTGAGACTCGCATGATTTTGCGATTTTTGATAAATTTTTCAAAAGGGCTCTCTAACATTGTTGAATGAATTTCTTAAAAAAGAAAGTAAGAAGCCATAGAAAAGTAAGTCACCTTCACCAAGAGGAAAATTGCAACAATCACAATCCATGAAAGGACATAAACCAAGAAGTTTTTGCTATGCTGAGAGATGTCAAGGTGATAAACCAAACCATATTGATAGATGAAAAACCGAAGAGAAAGCAAGATTTCAGCCAACCTAGAAGCAACACCGCACAGGCGAAGATGAGCTTGCTCATCATGCCACCAAGAATGCCAACTTTTGTCTTGTTGAATTCCTAAACCCCCTTGTTGCCTGATCCATTTATTCCACTCTTTCCAATCATCTACTGTTTTGGTCCAACTAAATCCAGCAGGGTTAAAAAGAAAAGGTGCACACAACCAAGTTAATGACATGAACCAAATGGCATATGTTATCAACACATATGTCATGTTACTTTGATAGGACTTCCTGAACATGTTATAAACAATCAACAGCAGCATTAGCTCAAATGCCTTAACAAAGTGGCTTCTTGAATACAATCTATAATTTTCAGTGAAGCTAGCATGAAAGACAACTTTTCGGCCTGTTGGTCTGTACTTTGCACCTCCATGCAAAATTGTTCTGCCATAGTAATGTGTTTTTGTTCCAAGGGAGAAAGTAAAGAAAACAGCAGCTAGCTGCAATTGCATAAGGACAAAGTCTTTTAGTGCTGTGAGGAAACCTTTCTCAAGGCCTATTTCCATTACCATTGGCAAGCCTGTAAGAAGTCCAAGTTGTATAAATGATTGAGAGGCAAGAGCTGTTTCTAAGGACTGTACATTCTTGATTCTAGCCTCAATGATAAGTGCTCTTTCCAAGCCACTAAGCACCAGGTATAGCTGCCCGTAGAGAAATACATATATTCCTATCACTGAAATCTGTGGAGCAATTCAATAGAAATTTAGATTAGTCAAATCTGATGGCACCGGTCATTTGTGATATGTAAAGCATCCGACGAGAATTTTATCTTGTGATCTCAAGAAAACTAGGTAATAACTTTACTGACATATCATGAAAAATGCAAAGGGTTTTCCCCAACAAAATATTTTACAGTGCATTAGCCATGTTGAATTTGGTTAGCTTTACAGTTTTGGGAATGTCCCTTCATCAATTTCTAAATGTCAATCTAAGATGTAGTGCTAGATCATGGAAACTGCAAAATGTTTTCCCCCCAACTATCATGGGTATAAGCTTATTTACATTGCGTTAACCATAGTGAACGTTGTTTGCTTTAAAGAATGATTTGTTATCAATTCCAAAACTTTGTCTTGTAGTGAGAAGTAAAATAGATAACAATAACAGGATAAATCAACACTAAGTGTGTGCTTGGAAACCAATAAAACCATGTCAAACTACATTTCAGCATGAAAGTTATAACTTGAAACATTAGAATGGATCCACATTTGACTGGATTTTACGCCAATCCAGACATGCCATAAGCAACAATGTATTGCAATTAAAGATATAAAAAAAAGAAAGGATGAATATGATGGTTCAATAAAATTACCAAGCTGCTGAAGTAAAATCCAATTGTAGTGAAATAACAAGATAGCATCCGGAAAAAATCGAATTGCCGTCCAAGGCGGAATATGTCACGGCTTATAGTTTGTTCACTGTTTCCATTTGCTACCTTGGCTTCAAATTTAGAGATCTGGTTTAGACCTACATCACGACCTTTCCCAACTTGCAAATATTCGTGGTATGAAATACATCCTCGTCTTAAAGTTGAATTAAATCCTGCATGACATAAACACATTGTACTTGTGTCCATTATCATAAACAACGTGTGATCAGAAAATAAATTTAAGTCACCAATTCCTACCAGCAAAAACATCTTCACTCAAGTTAATTGTTTTAGATGCTTTGCTTACTCCTCCTCTTGTGATGTGAAAAACACTGTCAAATACATCTGGATGGCCATAGTGGAACCGCACCCTGAGTGAGGGAATGCATTAGAAATAATAAGTAAGCAATTGATAGAGTTAACACAATTCATTAAAAGAAAAAATGGTGATGTGATGAATGTTGTAATCCAAAGAAGCAAGAGCCTTTTGAAAAGAAAAGAACAGAAAAAGTAAACAGAATGAGAGAAAATACTTCTCTATCAGATTTAGGATATTTATATATGCTAGTTTCATGTAAGATACAAAAATTCTAATTTACTGATAGGAGTACATGACTTTCACAAGATACAGATCACCATTAGTTTAATAATGAAAAACTAGATTGTGAAAAATATCCCACCAATAGTGTCAGTGGATAATTTGAAGTAATTTTCTTGAATGCAGAAAGGCAAATCACAAATATAACAATGAAGACCATATTCTTGCATGACCAACACTACTGCTTGTTTATACTAGAGGTGGCAAAATGGGTTATCACCCATTTGGTCTGGACAGTTGCGGGTGGCTTTAACAGATTGAGCCAAAAAGCCCAAATTCAATACCAAATGATGCCCAAGTCTGGCAAAAGCCCAAATTTTAAAGATTTTTGCAAATCAAGCCTGCATCAACCTTAATCAGTTAACCAGTTGGGTTGACCCATTTTGCCAACTAGAAAAGTATCAATTAAAAATAAAAATTATTGTAGTTTGCTAAATAACTCCTGGACACTCGATGAACTTTTCCTATCTTAGTTGCTTACGTTTCCGGAATGACATTTTACATTTATTACCTGAGAGGATTAGCCAGAAGCCTTTGACCAATAGTGACAAAGCTGGTCTCTTGATATGACATGAACCATGCCAGAGAAGACACACTGAAGTTAAAAGAGCATAGAAGACATCCTATTAGTATATTAAACACCATTCTAATATCAATGTAAAAGACATTTGAATAAGGGGAAAAATCAAGTAAAGAACAAAATATTGTGAAATGTAAATTAGAAAAGGAAAAAGATGGAAGAAAGAAAAAATAGTACAAGAGCTATAATGGTATCAAGTATTATCCTCACGTAGGATGTTTATAATCTATTCTATAAACATCTGGTTTTACACATTTTTCATGTTTAGGGGCTAGCCTATATAGCGTGTGACATACTATCTTAGACTTGGACCAATTTCATTCATTCTAGGAACTTTGATTAACATTGTGCATATGATAGTAGAATATTTTTGTAATTAAAGGAATCTTGCTCAGTTTCCCCTATTGTCATAACAGTGCTGTTTCTTTTAAAAAAAATTATTTTATGGAATACTGAGGGCTAACCTTCCTGTGAAAATGTGTTCCCTTAATCCAAGTATTGTAGGAGGACGTCTTCCTTGGTGCCGAAGAAATTCTTGAAGAAGGTTTCTCATTTTCAGAGCTTCTTCCAAGTAATTATCCTGTAAAATCAGATAGATACTCGTAAGAACATAATAGCAATGATCAATTTTTATATATAATGCTAGTAAATAGTTAATTTGTAAAAAATGTAAAAAGAAATTAGGCCTACTTGGTTCATATCAATCGTTTGGAGGGCTTCACCGCGAGTGAATATTATTGCATTGTTTTGGTTTTCAGGCTTCCCTTCTCCAAGATATGGTGAACCAGGTAGTTTTATTTGATATATTGTCTATAAAAGAAGCAAAAGTCTTATCAGGTCAATAATGATGCATCTGAATAACTACTTAGCTATACATGTAATAAAATTTAAAACTGTATTAACATAACAGTAAATGAGAAGCTAGTCATCTGATTTGATAAAATATTTTAAAGTTTAACATTAGAAATATTAATAAAAACCAGTTGTTTGCATGATTATAGTAAATTGAGAAGATTATAGTGTTTTTTTTAAGGGTTAAAATTTCACATTGTAAGAAAAATATTGATATATATTGGTAGCAATCAGCCTTTCATAGAGTTAGTTACATTTGATCCTCTCACATGGCATTTGATCAATGTGTGTTTTACCATCACATTTCCCAGTACTTTTGTATTTACAGTGATGCATTTAGCAGAACTCCTTTACTTTTTTCTAATACTTACATACAATGCAAACAAAAATTAAGAAACAATACTTGCAAATTTCATTTAGTTTGCTGTCATGAAATAGAAAGATTTTGAGCTCAGGAAATTATTAGAAGCACGACAAGCACAATAAAAATAAAAGTCAAGTCAATTCTTTTATAGCAAAAAAACAAAGCAAACATGCTTGAAATATTGAAGAACATGACTTGCTTTGGCCCCATCCACAACCAGAAAATATCAAGTATATCTGTTTGATTGCAATTACTGGATTCAATTGCAAGGTATGGGACTTGAGAGTTGAGTTTCACTTTGGAAGTTTGGGATTCTAGTGTGTGGTTTATAATGCCTTGGATTCTCAAACTACAATGGCTAGCTTTTGTGAAGTGGTTATCCCAAAGTTCTTATACGGTGATGGTGAAGATATGAATATCTGGCTTCCAACATCTAAATCTAGGGCTTCATTGTAGCTTTTTTTTTTTTTTTTTTAAGTGGTCTATTTCAAGCATTGTGATTATAATCTTTTGGCTATAACTTCTCTTACAACTCATTATGCTGCTGTTCATGTGGCATTGTGGCCTAGTAAAATATTCAACTAGCTTATAAATACTAAATACTTGCATTGAAAGGAAAAAAAAATTGAAGTATTCTGAGAAAATGAATGAGAATTTCTTATAAGCCAATATTTTTTCCAAGACTAATGCTTTTTCATGTTGAAAAAAATACCTGTTCATAACCATTGACGACTTTAACCAGTTTAGATGAATAATATACTATGCGTTTACCCTGCACTATCTCCTCCTTTTCCTCAATATAAGCAACACGAAGAGATGGATACCTGCAGAGAACATATGCATACAAGGATTTTGTCTACTTCATTTATATCAAGAAGCAAGACAATTTTCTCTTTCATTGTAAAAACTTTGGTTACCTTATCATTAAGTCAATTATATCTTGATAACGGGGATCATTCATAGCCTTTTGTGATGCAAATGATTGACAAGAAATGACAAAGGTGTATTTCATGTCTGCTAGTGCTTCTAGACGAGCAAACAATGCGAGGTTACGTCTTTCAGCATTCTCATAACCCTCAAGAATATCTGCATTAATACAAGCAGTCACATATTGATTTGATTATTTTGAAATTATTTTTCTATATTTCCTTGCACCATAGCAAAATACTGGTTGATAATGTCACTTGTACTCAGTTACAAACCTTCTTCTTCAGCCATGTCAAGAAATGCTTGTAATTTTAAGGCTTCTCTGTAGTACATCATCCCTCTAACTGTTAGAAATATGATTGGAATGATCACAAAATGACATATAATTAGAATTGCATGATTATCCAAATTTGAGAATAGCACAAAATCTGAACCTGTTCTGCTTAGTGTCTGGCCCCGGAATGATGCCCACAGTCTAAGATCTTCTGTTTTGTGTTCATCTTCTAAACTCTTACGGTTATCACATGCCAAGCGTTCCAAAAAGTTTGTCCATTCATCTATTTCAATTGGTATAACAATCTATGAGATGAATTCAAATAGAATTTTTAAGATAAATAAATAAATCCATATGTATAGCAACCTGGATATATCTTTTGCATGTAGAAGATGATGGAGTCCTCCTCTTTTTCTGAACCAAGCTCCTTCAGCGAAAAATTAATGTCCTCCATGTAATGTGGAGTTATAACACTACCAATCATGTTATATATCAGATAGAGTTCTGTGACTGAATTACAGGACTAGAATAATGTTCACTTGAATGCTTATTTACAATTTAAAAGTCGTTCAGTCATTTATCACTCAAAGGTTTTCTTCTTAGTTTGTTGTGTCTGTCATTGAATAAAGAAATTCTCATCATGTCATTTATGATTGGTAGAGAACAAGGTTGTTGAGTTTAAACTAAATAGTAATTAGGAGATAAATGATGTGAATGCCACTTCAAGAACAGACTGTATCATGGAATGTCAATCTTTCTAAGTAATGAAATGCTCATGGACATATAGTACTACCTGAATGGCAACATTTTGTGCACTTTTGGAGCATCAGGCATATCTGTAAACAGAGAAGTAGCAAAGAATGATATGCGCCTACGAGCATCTAAGTTAGCAGGGATGCCCATTGCTGTATCTTTGACTGTAAGCAACAAATGAAATCGCTTGATCTGCCATGAACAGACTGGTTATATCAGTATAGCAATAATAGAGTTCACATGTAGTTGTGAGGCTTTATTTCTCATTACTAAAATGTATTGTGCCAGCAGAATTTATACAAGAAGTCATGAATATAATAACTAGTCGCCGATGAAAGGAGAATGACAAGAAAACATTATTGAGGTAATAAACATCACCTTTTCCATCAGAGGGCCATTTTCTGGCAATGGAAAATGGATAGAATTCTCATTGGCAAATGGATAGAAATCTCTATTCAATTCCACTCTGTCAAATAGTTGATCATCATTTCTAAAATAGACAAAGCCATGCTCATTTTGGTCGGGAAAGTGTAACATATCCATTATTCTGTACAGATTTAGTAAGTAATTAGCAAATGAAGCACATTAATGTGGTAAATAACAACAGATTCTTAAGCACCGGTACCTGGAATCAACCATCATATCATTTGTTACCAGTTCCAACATATCTAGCAAGGCTTTCACAACTTTGTGATGATGATCTTTATCTCCCTCCATCTTATGGCATTTACATCAAAGTTATTAGGAAGTTACTGGTCATATACATTTGTCAACATAAGTACTTGGCATTTAGTATAGATCTGGGAGACAATTACCAGAAGTTCAGCTAGCTCGATGACCTTTGCATGCAGAGCTGGGAGAACTTTCAAGTTGAAGTTCTTTAGAAGACTTGTTTCTTGGATATTCTTTTCAATTTCGCTTAGTATATCACATATCATCCTAAATATGCATAAACAACCACCGTATCAAGATCAATGTCAAAATTTTGTAGGTTATAAGTAAATATAAACAAGTAATGTCCACTTGGAGAAAAAAGGATAAGATTCTACAGCATACAACAGTAGTTGAAGATGAAAGGTTGTATCCAGAGAAACATTATTTTTATTTTTTTACCTATTCTCCATGCTGCCCACAACAAGAATTTCAAGCACGTACTTCAGTGACTGGTAACACTCTCTTACAGCATAAAACATGTATATGTCCTTTGTAATTTTCTTAGCAAGAACCTCATCCTTTCCCTCAAAATCTTTAGCAATGGTCAAAGCTGTATAAAACTAAAATATGTAGCAAGAAAAGTACATTAATGAATAAAATGATGCGCATTTAATAATTCTACAACACTAATCTCATAATATTTTGGTTAAAAGTACATTACCTTACTTGCCAAGAGAAAAACAGGCCAATGAACCTTGTCTGAAAACAATTCTGAAGATACAGGCATCATCATCAAATCCATCTCTCTGTTGAAAAAATCATTGTCAGGTGTTGGAATAAAACATAGCAGTGCAAGAAAGTTATAACAAACATCACCTGTTACTGATCAAGTCTTCAAGCCGAAGATGATTTACAATTTGATTCCATACTACAACAAATTTGGCAGTGGCATTTTTTTCATCTGGCAACTGTGACACAGATTATTGGTCAGCATAAGAGAAAAGATGTACTAAAATAATCTTCTCTTCCTATTTCTAATTTAGAAGTTAGAACACACCTTTTGAAATATATTGCTGAGGAGACCTTTTCTTTTCTTTTTACCACGTTTGGAAGATGGTGGGATCAGACTAACATTAAATGCTGCGGGTAAGGAGTCAAATCTACTTCTCAGCATTCCAAGTGTCCTTATCTTTTTTCAACAAAAGATGTGAGATGATCATTTCATTTCTATGGGAAAAGAAAGAAAGAGAAGCAAATAAAATCCACAACTTACCTCACCAAGGTGATGCAAAATGCCATAAAGTCCACCAACTATTGTACAGAACACAGAATACCAAATTTGTGTGTCCATAAAGTAAACCTTTAATAAATATAGAAAGGAATGTTGTTAATCTTCCATCAATATGGTTTTCTTAAAAGAAAGAATCATTACATAAGGAGTTTTTTTCTAACACATAATGACTGATATAGACTGCTTCATTGACATAAGATATAATTCAAACCGTGAAGCGTTTTCTTTTTTCTCCTAGAACTTCAATGTAAGGATAATTACAATGATAATATTTAAGTGAAAAGCAAACAATTGTATGTATCAGGCTGTGATTGAGACTCACAATTACTACAGGGCTCCACACAGCGACAATTGCACCAGCATTACTTTTGACTGCAGCACAATCAAACCCTTGTCAGTGAAATTAACTGATTCCTTATGTGATCAGAACAATTAGAAATGTACCATACCTCTTGGAAAAAGCTCATGCCAATCATACTTTACACCAATTTTCATAATTTGTCTGGTTGGTGCTATGAGTGGTTTTATCTGCGCACATTGATATTGCATTCGCCATTAAGAATAGGTTGCTAAATAATGAAACCGAATATAGCCCCTTAATGGATGTTCTGTTATTATTACCTCAAAGCTGTAGCTAAACAGAAATTTACACGACAACACCGATATCCAAAACAATGTGTACCTTTGTTGGGAGAAATTCAACAGATTTGTATATTAGGATGGATATACTCAAGCAATTAGATGCAAACAATCAGAATAAGCCAATAAGGAAATGGGATATACTTTAAAACTGAAACCTGGTCTTCTTGCATCCCCCGACCAACATAGATTCTGGGCTGTATGATAAATAAATGAGACACTCAAGTTAACATCTAATGCAATGAATGAATGTTGCAGTCAATTACATGAACATATAAATCAATGTGAAAAAAATTTATACAAGTGATTTCAAGAGCTGGCCGACTAATGGTGAAAAATCAACACATCAAACGGGTTAGTCCTCCCAAAAGAAGGAATACAAAGAATAGTTTTGACCAAAAATTTCATTGTGACAAAATATAATAGTAGTATCGTGATATTACTTATATGATGTCAAAAGCAATCACATTACTCAGTACATGGACTCATTAAAACTAGAAACGAACAACAGTACTAGATACTGCAGTTGTATCACAAGTTCATTCAAATGGCAAATTGGTCTAGCAATTCTCCTAAGTTAACATACTGTTGAAAATATATTAACAAATAAGATGAACTTACCTGAGTCCACCAAGACAAAACTCTGCATATCTGGTAATTAGAGACCTCAATATACTTGGCAACAGCAGGGACAAAAAATAACACAACTTCAACTGCATTAGTTGTCAAGTATATTGCTGCTGCAACCATATAGGAAGTAAAGCACCATTCCTCAATCAAGCTTCCATATTTTGTGGAATAACAAGTATATTTTCTTCTCGAATTAGTATAGCATACAGGAAGAACAATAGTCCATATAATGGCAAAGACCAGCTTCATCACAAGTTTCACCTTTTGAGAATATTCCATGGTATATCTTGCTTTCCACGCAAAGGCAATGTCTAAAATTGCTGTGACAAAAAACACGAGAACCTTAAATGAGAGGAAGAACAAGGGCCACTCTAACCATGTATAATGTCTCATAATGACAAGTAAAGACATAAATGAACACCATACCTTGAATAAGCTTAAGAATTGCAGAGGTTATGAAGATGCTAATTATGTCCTCAAATACTATGGCATCAAACAACTGAAGTGGAGATCCCAAGTCATGACAAGCAATGATTATTATGGCCTGAGAACAAACACACAATCCAAATTTCTAGACTATCCATCATAAGAAGCAGAAATTTGTAAATTATCAGCTCTAAGTTTGGAGTAAACCTGAAGGGATAGAATAAAAAAGCTCCACATTCTATCAAAGCTTCTAAAAACTTGCCAGAATGAACGAATCTCTACAAAATTTGTCTTTCCCAGCCATCGTGGTTCATGACTTTCCTCCTCTGTATTCTGTACAAGGAAAAGACAAGAGATTTGGATTTTGTGGCATAGAGGGGTATTCTCTTACAGGTAGTAGAACTAATCCAACTTTTCCTAGTGACACATGAAACAAGAAACACAAAACTAAGTAACAAAATTAACATTTAATATGTCAAATGTGAGTATTAAAGACTCAATCCTTATTAAAGACTCAATCCTTAGTAGTTGTATCATTCTCTTTAAAAAGGGCCACAACACAAGCCATCAAAGTTGAAATTTTACTTCATATAGAAGTAGATAAGCAGCAGTATCTTGTGATATATCTACTAGTAAGATCCCTGAGTACTAGATAGTGAAGAGTAGCAATAAATGATGAAATAACATAAAATTAAAATTTCATTTGCAATCTCATTTAGCTTTAGTTTTATGTTTCAAATATCACTAATACTAAACCTGAAGTACAATGCTTTTGAGAATCACACAATCACCTTTTGTTCTTCTTCACCATCATCGCTCTTTTCCTTCTTTTTCTTCTCTTTCTTTTTCTTCTCTTTCTTTTTACCAGGTGACGCATCATGATCATTATTGTCATTTGGTTCCGGTATATCTTTTACAAAGAAAAATTCATGGTCTTCACGCATGGGCCAACCAATTTTGAAACAATCAGGGGACCTGTAGATATTGAAGAGAGTTAAGAACCTGAGATGGAAAGAAGGCCATATGAAAAACAATTAAATAGATCTTAGCCTAAAGGTAATACTGACCAGAAATACTCATTCAGATCATCATAGTTTCTCCATACAGAATGAGCCGCTGCACCGCCTTTGCTATTGGCAACTTCCTTTGATTTGAACAAAAGTTAGTTATATTGAAAAGAAGACAATTCAAAGCAAAAGAGAGGATGAATTAGATATAGTACATTTTTTATAACTTTGTATATTGGAGTGACAACATTGTTAAGGAAAGACTCCAGTTCTCCTCCGTATGCAGGCATGACCTTTTCCCATGTTGTTAAGCTGATAGCACCACTTAAAATTCCATGCAATTCATATGCCATCTTCAAAACATACAAAAAAATGACAAAATAAATTAGAGAATATTCACATGATGTAAGGTTATTAGAAAAATTTAACCAGTGATGAACATAGAGGTGTTCATGAGCGACTCCATCAAGCATTTATTTAACTTCATAATATGTGCCAAACTTGACATAAAAGAATAAAAAGCTATGGTCTTATTAAGATTCTATCAACAATAAGGTTGGTTACATGGACCAAACAATGCTATAATATTCTATTGTGAATCAAGGATTCAAGATTCCATCAATGAAACAAATTTTATTACATAATCTTTGTTCATGAAATGAAAATTCATATGGTATTCCTAGTATCACAAATAGCATAAGTTATATTTATATACTAACACAAGCCTGTGTAATAACATTCTTCTTTTATTAAAAACAAGGAAAATAAAAACAATGTGTTGAGTTTCAACGTACATGATGAAAGATATAACAGAGACATTCAGGCATGAACCGCAAATTAGCTGCCTCCCCCCATATAAGCAGGTAAAGCCCAATGTATAAAATTTTATATTGTTGGGCTTCTTGTTTCACAAAAGGTAAACTGCAACACAAGTAACAGGCTTACTAAGTAAAACACAAGGTCAGAAAACAGAAAGAATGGTCAAACAAAATAAATTATGGTTTAAATAAAATAAATAAAACAGTAAGAAAGCTAAAAGAAATGAAGAATATTCAACAAATTGACAAAGCATATAAAAATAATAATAATAATCCCACAGGCACACAGAGAAAGGGAGAAACATACCACCCTGTCTTTTTAACAAAGGAAGAAATAAAATATAAATCATTGAAAGTGACAACATAATTAGATCAACTGACATACCGGATATTGCTTTTTCTTCCCAAAAACTTGCACCAGTTTGTATAGTTTTTGAAAAACTTCCTCATTAATTCATCCACACCTCCTTCTGCTAACTGATATATGATAAAAGTGACATAGTTGACATTGTCAAATATGATGAACAAAAGCTAAAAGATACATGTTCAACAGCAAATGCACCTTCAAAGCAGGACTGTGGTTGAGAGTTTGACGAGTCTGCATGTTGGCTAGGAGTAGAATCAGATGTTCCCTTTGGTTGGCCACATTGGCTTCCTAATGTCAGACACATCATATAGAACGAAAAATCATGAAAGACTAGTAAGAGCAATGTTGACCATACGTTACTGCATCCAAACTGATTCTATGCAATAATCAGAATTTTACAAATGTGAAAAAGCCTTAAAGGGAAAGTTTGAATGCAATTAACTTGGAGAACTAACCTGAAATCCAAAACAATGCTGAAGAAAATCAAATAAATCCACAAAGGCTCCGTGCTTCTTGAAATCTTGAGCCGGGGGTAAACCGCGAACATTGCGAATAACTGCAATGGCAGCCTTAATCTGTATCAATTTTATTAGTACACTCAAACTCAGTTCGCCATATTGCAATTGACTCAGACATAAGACATCAATAAAATGGAAAAATGTGAATCATTCAAGAAATATCAGACCTCAGGATGCTGCATAATTGCATGCTGAATTCCTCCTTGCTCAAGTGGAAGAATGTTATATTCAGTTTTTTTATGGATTGCATTTCCTTCAATAAGTGCCTATTTTAGAAAAAATGAGAAATTCTAAGAAAAAGAAATACATGATAAAATTTGGGGACTCCATGGTGTATAAATGATTTTCTATTTTCATGTTCTGTTTTCACTTTTAATTACAAAATTTTCACCTTGTTTTCAAAGTTTTGTACAAAAGCTTTGAAAAAAAATAGAATGAAAATTAGATGACAATTTTGTAACTAAAAGTGAAAATAGAAAACGTTTTCTGAAATCAACCAGCCCCTTGATAATATGCTTAGTTTTGACTAAAAATATGTATGAAATTACTACAAAAGGGAAGTGCAAGATATACAAAAAAGAAGAAATAAAAGAGATCACCTGAGAACTAGCTGTGTCTGTCACTGTTTTTAGCACCTCAAACAGAACAGAAGCAATATTTCGTGCTTCTATCAATTTTTGTCTTTCACTGTTTAGATAGAGCATCATATGAGTTGGTTAGTAGGCCGTAAAGGAATCTACAAATTTGTGTTCAAAGGGAAATGCTGCATTATGAATTAGTTTAAGCATAGTTACCTTTGTTCTAGATAAAATGCTTTATCATGTGACATAAAATAATTCCTGTATTCTCGGTAAGCATTCTTAAGTTCACGAATGTCACTTGTTCCCTTCCTTTTTGTAACATGCTCATCCTGTATGTCACAATTCACAAAAAACCGGTCATTATCTTTCAGAACCTAAGAAAATCATAGCATCAAGAATTAATCCTAGTATAAATCCTATAAATGTTTCTGAAAAGGTAAATAACTAACAAAATGTTATTCAACATGTTTTTCTCTCGAGTATACCTGTTCAAGTCGATGAAGTAGTGCAGTTTTGAATTGTCTAACACCCCTTCCACTAGAATTTTTGTCCAAGTTGTGTGCAATCACAAAGGCATGAACACGGCCTGCAAAGTAGGTTTACTGGTATAATGTGAAATGCATATATTGATAATGGTTAATAGAGAATATTATTTTTGGAAAGCATAGGACTACATATAAAGCAGGAATATAACTCACCATTATCAGTTGAGAAAACAATTCTTCTATACATCTATCTATACACAATTCTAATTTATGTATATCAATTTTCAACCAAAGTGAAACAAGCCAACTCCAAAAAATTGCACTGTACATGGTACAATAGTTTGTCAAATGAAGAATTGGATAAACAGGATACTAATATCTAGAAATTGAACTGCATGAATGAAATTTTCCTTTCCCTGTTTGGTTTAAACTTCTATTTATGTAAGTTATTTTTTTAGTGCAATTTCTGGATTGATACTAAGGTAATTGGATAGATTGAGCCACTTTTCTAAGTTCAATTTTCTTTGACAAATTACAACAACAGTTAACAAAAGTGACTTCATTGGAAAATTGATTCAATAATCATTACCCATTATGTAACAACTAACAACCCAATTCACCTACAATTGTAGTTGTTGTGGCCCCCTAGAAACCTGTATCCTAGTAAAGCAATCATCACTTCTTTAAAGTACATTAAAACCTCCCACTTTACACACACAATATTGCACTGTCCTTTATCCAATAATTCTTCAATCTAGACAACCCAAAAAAAAAAAAAAAGGAAGTAAAAACTCGGACACTTCAATAAAGGGAAAAAAAAAACAGTTACAAAATAACATAAATAATGTCAATATTGAATTATCTTTTACCCAATAATTCTTCAATCTAGACAACCGAAAAAAATAGAAATAAAATAATAAAATATAAACTCAAGACCCTTCAAAAAAGAAAAAACAATTGCATAGGGACAATCAAAATACACACTAATTTCAGAAGATACTCAATTTCAATTCCCAGCATTCAACAAACTCATAAAAAAAATAAAATTCAGCAGAAAACAGAAAAGACTGACAAAGATATGCAACACGAGGCTCCTCCTTTCCCAGCAAGTTGGCCACACGAAGGAACCTTTGGATTTCAGAAGCAAAACTAGTTGGCAACCTTTCACTGTCAAAGGGTTCTGGAACATATTCAACATTGTTACTCCTATTACTATTACTGTTACTGCCACTGGTAATGGCCAAGGTGACTTGTGGTGGTCTCTCTGATGCTGCTTTCGATGTCTCTCCTTGCTCAAAGTAGATGCCTTCAATGGGATCTGCAGGCACAATCTCAGCCATTGGTGTGAGCTAAGGAATGAGCAAAGGGTGCATAGTATATATGTTGAATCTTCTCCATAGTGTTTGCTTACTGAGGTAAGCTTTGGTGCACTTTAGAGTGTGACTGTGCGCTTTGCTTTGTGCACTGATTGGAAAGCTGAATGCCATCTTTTGCTTTTGCTTTTGAAGCTGTTTTTGTTTTTGTTTTAGCTTTCTTTCCCTCTAAGGTGAGAAGGGAAAAAAAATGTGTTTGAATGTGTGTGTGTGTGAGTGGGACTAACAAAGCAAAGTGAGAGTGTCTTTTGAAATGCAAGTGCAAATCACAGTTTTTTTATTATTTTGTGAGTGCTGCGTTTACGTATTAGACTTCGATGCATGTGAGAGACAAAGGGTGACGTGACCCATTCTTAACATTCTTTAATTAATCTCCACTCAATGCTTTTTGGTCGTGGAATTATTGGTCCCTTTGTTTTCTTGGTTTCAATATCTACGTGATAAATAGTAACCAATATCTTAAGAGTATAAGTATTAATGTACTATTTTTAATATTTTTAGTAGTTCTTTATTTATTAAACTTTTCAAAAAAAAAATGCTGCACGATTTTTTTAAATATAATTAATGAGTTTTTTCAATACAATTTACTCAATAGGGTCTACCTAGCCCAAGCTTTTTTAGTGCCATTAAAAAATATTCCAACAATTTTTACACTCTAGATGACTTAATCTTCAACGTGAGAGAGTGTATTAAAGTCTCACATTAATCATAGATATGACTAAAGTAAAGTTTATAAAGATTAAAACAATTTTCATGTTAGAAGTTATAATTTTTTAAGTTGATCGAGTTAGGCTTAATCTTAAATTTAAGAATAAGATGCAAATTATTTTAAGTTTTTGTTAGATAAGTAGTGTGGATTTAGAAGTACATTGAAAATTTATAAATATAGATCTAACATAAAAATTATAACTATAGTGATTTTAAAATAAACACAAATATATAATTATTTAAATATATATTCAAATATACTGTGTGTGGTGAAGAAATTGTATTCATGAATGCATCGTGGCTTGCAAGTCAAACTTCATTCCACTGAAGTGCAGGGTAACATCCTTTGTCATATCATCTCTTTAGCTCAGCTTCATCTCATTAATAACTTTTCTTGTGAGCAACTCTATCTAATACATAATTCTATCTTCTTGAAATAAATAATTATGCCTAGGTCATTACACTTTTTGATAGCTATAAGATGTCAATATAAATCTCTAAAATATTTCATATATAATTCATGAAATGACCCATGGTTCATACCATATATCCACTTCAAATCATTAAAGTTTCAATCTCATGCTTTTCAATTCAATTTTTCATAACAAAACTGTGCTCAAAACAATCAAGTAACCACGCAGTTCACTAGTTGCCATGCTTATAAATCAATTAGGATCTTGTTATTATGACATCTATCAAATGCATGTTAAAATTTGCACTGTGAAAAAGAAATATGTTACTTTGCCTAAATTAGAATACATACACAAATAAGATATTGAAAAGGTTTAGTGGGAAGGAACCTAAGTTATCGATACATGGTGTGAGACTATCCATGACCCAGTGTAGTTTCATGTGCTTGGACAGTATATCCAAAGAATTTTTAGAAAAGGATTGAATTAAGCATTTTTATAATTTAAATATGTGAACTATTTGGTCGTTGAGATCAAGTATGAATGAAAAAGTCTTAGATAAAAATAAAAAAGTTGAACATCTAAGGAACCAAGGATCCACAATTTGATTAGTCTTAAAATTTTATTAAGCAGAAAGGTTTAAGATTGACAATAGTTTTATTTTACACAAAAAAACAGTAAAAACATAATATAAAATTTAAAAGATAAATAATTCTTGTTATATCCTCTACATAGTACTTAATAATCTTCTTATTATGGTATGAAAGAGGAATTAAATTAAAAAAATTATATATTCATTTTTAAAAACAAAAATATTATTTTTCTTTGTAATTAGGAGAATTTATAGAGATCAATATTTTATTTAATGATTTTCTAATGTGTGCCTAAAAGCACTTGTTAAGAAGTATTAAATATATATTATTAAATGCTTTTCAATTATTATAAAAAATATATTGAATATTTTTATATTTAATAAAAAATTCTATTTTTAAGTTCTTAACTTAAACCTTTATTTGAATGTATTTTTGAAACATTATAGGTGAGAATGATAATGAATAAGGTATTATAGTCGCATTTTAAAAAAATGCTTGTACTCAATCCCATATTTGCGTGGGTAATAACTTTAATCTACATACTCGTATCATCTCAGTACTTGTATACCCATACTCGCATTTACTACTCACATTTGTTTAAGAAAAAAATATTTATAAAAAAAATATATTTATATAATTTTACATAAGTAACATAATAATATAAAAATTCAATGTGTAATTGTCAAACAAAGTTCAAGCATAGATAAAAAATAAATATTCAAATATCATAAGTATTAAGTGTATCTTAATACAATAACTTTCTAACTAAAGTGCTTAGAAACTATAAAGAGAATTAAATACACAGGTAATTTGCCAACGATAACCCCATCTCACATCTAATCTTCTTGAACGATGATGGTACTGAATTAAGCGATGATGAGATGAATTTGTATAATGGGTGGCCAAGTACTAAATGACAATGAGGAATAGACACATAACACATTCTTTTCTTTTTAATTTTTGAATATAAAATTTAAAGAAAAATAATGGGTTTAATTGAAATAATATAATATAATTAATAATATATATTTTTTATTAAACATAAACATTTTATTAAGGATAATTTTAGAGTACAAGGAGTACTTTATCTCATTACAACTCTAAAGAAAATTAACAATACATATTAAGGGATTATTAATCTAATTCACATAGACAAGATAATCGATCTTCCCATAGGCCCTGCTACAAATCACTTCCAAGAATGATACTTAATATAATCAAATATTTCACTAACATTTAGTACACTATTATTGAAGAAAATATTATTCTAATATAATTAATAATATATATATATATATATATATATATATATATATATTTAGAAGCTCTTTTGAATGTAAATAAATAATAAGAATAATATTATTTGGATTCAATAAATTATAGTTGTGCTTGTAATGGACATATTGTATAAGAAAATATTATTTTAAAATAAAAATAAAAATATAAATATTATCAATAAATAATAAACCTACTTAACTGTAGGTGATGGTAAAATTTATAAAATATTTATAATATGTTTATTATTTATCATTTAGACTATAATTTAAATATTAATATAATTTTATTTAAAGAAAATATTTGTGTGAAAAATATTTTGTATATGTGTCATATATAAATATATTTTTTTAAAAAAATCAATCTTATATCAATCATGTAATAATTAAATTGTATTGGCCTAGTTAAACAATATAAAATAGTAAATAAATTGTTCTATTAAAAATATTAATAAAATAATTTTTATAGTTTACATTATTAGTGAATATATTTTTATGTTAATCTTATAAAACAACTATTTATATGTAATGTAAATATCTATTTTCTATTAGATAGATTTTTATATATTTACATATGCATTCTTTTATTTTCAGTAACATAAATATTTATATTAAATTTCTTAATCTCTTATTTTACATAGAAAAAATTTGAACATAAAATTATAAATTAAAAGATAATATTACTCAAAATAAAAAATTTGTCTATTAAAAAAATAATAATAATTATGACTTATAAGAGAACTAAGTAGAAAACATAAGACATAAAATAAATAATAAAATTTTTATTTTGATCAAAATTTCACATAAGCATCCACAAAAACTTTCTAACAAACTGAAAGTGAGTTGAGTTCTTATTTTCTTAAATTTTTAGTTACCCCATTCTATGATTATTTATCGTGTAAACCAGAGAAAAGGTCAATTATGTGTTGCAAAATAACATGTATAAATTAAAATAAAAATTATTTAAAAGGAAAGGGTACAACAATATTTTTGGTTAATGCGATGCACTTTATAAGATTATCTTTTTTTACAACACATGTTAGTATTATATTTTAAAATCAAATACTAGTAAAAAAATTATATTAAAAATATAAAAAAATGTGAAAGTTTATAATATTAATAGAGTATTTTAACAGGATTGTTAGAAAATTGTTCACATTCTACACGAAACACAATAAAAGAAAGAAAATAAAACATAACTTTGTTGAAAATGGCTTAATAGTTAACATTTATATCTGCTAAATAATGAAAAAATATATATATAACAAAGGTGTGTAAGCAATAGAAAATTGATGAATCATGAATGTTATACATCGTACAAAAAGTAAATTAATATTATATACAATCATTTATAAAGAAAAATATGTTTATATAATTTCACATTAGTAACATAATAATACAAAAATTCAATATATAATTGTAGAATAAATCTCAAACATAGACAAAAATTAACATAAATAACAATATATATATATATATATATATATATATATATATATATATACACGCGGGCATAGGATAGATACTTAAGTACTTATACGTATATCTATCTCTATTAAAATTTGTAAATATTTTCTCATACCTATCTATACACATGTACCCATTTAACGATAAATATATAACTCATTATAGATAAATTTTGCATACTCTATTCATTGTGATTCCTAATTATATATTAGTTAGTATAAAGTTTCGCTATATGCTGTACACTTGGCAACTTAGGGTTATAATCTTAATAGCGAACTTAATCTTTAACTAGCAAAAATGAATAATAGAGATTAAATTTTTGTTCACATAATTTGTCAAAAAAGTAATTCTGATAGAAATTAATTGTAGAAATCTATTACGCCTAGAATACTTGACAAGGGGTGCGTAGAAAATTGAAAAGAAAGTAACATACGAAAATCATAAACTTCA